CTATTGTATTTGATGTGGTGACATTGTATTTGATTTACAACAGCCGTTCGATTCAATTCAACACTCATTCAATCGGTCAATCTGTCCACAGCCAATAAACCCAGGCATTCATTAAACAATCGTAAGAAACATCTTGAGTTTGCAAATTAATGTACTCGATGTTGCTGGATTTACCGTTCGCTTCTTAAACAATTCCGAAATGTTCCCCCTAACTCCTAGTTAGGCACAATTCCACCTGACTGTGGTACACTTTGCATTAACAAGTTTTTAATATTTATATTAATTCCAATATTTGTCCCTCCTTTATCTCCTCAGTGGACCGCATTGAAGACCCATTTACTGGTGGGTAAATCATCTTACTTTTTTTTCCTCAGCAAGATACGAATTGATAGTGATATATATTAATGTATTTCAACGTTACCGTCTGTTACCATGAAGTGTATTTTTATTAATGATTATTTCGTTACAAAGGTTATGCTTTCTGGGAGAAATTTCAATTATTTAAACATATTTGTGGCTTACACTCAGTAAATAAGATCGATTGATCGATCTGTAATGAAAAACAAGTCAGAAAAAAAATCTTGTAACCAGCGGGACTTGAACCTGAATCTACTGCTTGCCGGGCAGTGACTCTGCCACCGGGCCATCACCTGTCCATGACACAGTCAAGATGAACTATAAAAAATACCCAAGCTCTCCTTATTTATTCATTAGTCCGCCACATGACAATAACTTTTATAAATGCAATGCTTCCTGGAATCCTGGGAGAAATTTCAATGATTTAAACATATTTGTGGCTAACACCCAGTAATAAGATCGATCGATCACTCCATCTATGAAAGATGAAGAAAACAAAATCATAAACTAACTTTTAGTGGGACTGTGCCATGGACCAGTGATGGCCTGGTGGTAGAGTCGGTGCCCGGCAAACAGTAGATGCAGGTTCAAGTCAAGCTAGTTCTACATTAATTTGTTCTGACTTGTTTTCAATTACAGATCGATCAATCGATCTATATTTACTGGGTGTAAGCCACAATTATTTTTGAATAAATTATTATATTGTTTAACAAAACTTATGTTTAAAGGATATCAATATATCTTATACCGCGAGAGGCAGAGTAGTCAGCAGCAGATCATGGAAACTTACGAAACATTTTATCCTTTGATATTATTATTCTTATAAATTCATGATAAGCACTATTACATATTTCAGAAACTTTGAATAAGTTTCTACCAAATTACAAGTTAATGATGTAATACTTCAGTGCTTTTATAGCTCGTATCACCGCCGTAGCATCTCTATGCGTTTAGAAGAAGAAAAACATCAACAACATGTAATATGAAAGACGGATGCTGTACTTGCCCGACAGAAAATCAGTAAATATGCGTTTTGTACAATATGTTTTTAGGAGGGTTTTTATAGAACACTAAATTCTGAATGATTCCTTTACATGAGGTCGTCACGATGGCATTAGAACCATTTTCTGTCGTGAAGATGGAGTTATATGAGTACTACGAGAGAATAATAACAGTATAATTTGGTAATCTGGTAACTTCTACCACCCTGTTATGAAGTAGCTACAGCTATAGTGATTTCATAAACATACATTTTTTAAATCAAAACTAGTCACAATTTTAATGAAAATGTCATCATGTTATATTTATGTGGTCTTTCGTATTCGACAGATCATCTATTGATTTCGTCCGAATTCTCCTTCTCTATTCCTTTTTTTATTTTTTTTTATTTGTGTTTTTATTGGAAAATCAAAAGAATTCACAATATTTACAAATAATTAACATAATTAGAAACAAATTCATTAAACAGAATAACAATAAAATATAGTAAATGGTAGAAAATGAAAGAAATAAAACAGAAAATTAAAAACGTTAGAAAAGAAATATTGTTCAAGAACGAAGCCCCCCCCCCCCCAGACAAAAAAGATGATGCTTTATTAGGTGGTTTGTCATTGGCAGACTAACTATTAATTACGTCCGAATTTTCTTTTTTTTTCTTTATTCTCCACAAACTCGGTTCAGCAAATTTCTTTCACTTTTGGCACAGTCATAGGTCATTATCATAATACGTAACAGCAACCTTTTCAAGGTCATCAGGTCTTTATTCTTCTCTCTCACCCTCTCCCTTTCCCGCCTCTGGTTCTTATTCTACCTCTATTATGTCTGTTAATGTTCCATAATTTTCTCTAGCTCTTCCCATCGCCCTTTGTATTCATATTTCACCCCTACCATGTTTCCTTACTTTCCTCTCTCCTTCCAAGTGCATGCATTCTGATTCCTCTTGAATCACTCTGTCCAGCTCATGTGGGAATTAGGTGGTCTGGCAACGACAGATGAACTATTGATTTCGTCAGAATTTCGTCAGAATTTCGTCAGAAGTGGTCTGTTAGCGACAGATCACTTTTTAATTTCGTCAGAATTGTTTTTCTTTATTTGTATTTTTTTATTTCTCCACTTTTTCGTACAAGCGATTACTCAAGATCGGTTCTGTCAATTTCTTTCAATTTTGGCACAGTCATAGGTCATTATCGTAAGACATGACAGGAACATTTCCAAGGTTATCAGGTACTTGTGACGTCATCCAAGCGCCATTTTGAGAAAATCAACTTATAATCATATCTCCATAACGGAAATTCATTTGAAGGACACAATCATCTGTGGGTAAGCCTTTGCGAATGACATGCATTGTGGAAAAGGTTGGGCTACCTATATAAAGATGAAGATATAGAAATTAAAGATTGGTCCCTTATCAAAGGAATCGTAGCGATTTACAGAACTTACGCAATTACTATTTAGAAAACTTGATTTGAATTTGTACAATATATCATCTAGATAATGATACAAGTGACCAGGATCTGTGTGACGCTGGTTGGACACGTAACGGTAATGCATGCTACCAACTAGTTGAATCTACCGTCGACTATAGTACAGCCCTTGATGCGTGTAGAAATCTCAATGACTACGGTGATCTGGCGAGCGTAGCTGATCAAGACGAAAGCAACTTTCTTTTCGTTTATTCGAGGTAAGCCCCTACCCCGACCCCCTCCTCGAATACACGAGCCACATCATGGAATATTCTATTGGCAGCAACCCTCACCCACACGCACAGGCACACCTTTAGCCGCGTACCCTCCCATGCCACCTTCCACCTACAAGCATGCGCAGAGCGTGGCCTGTGGACGAGTATGCTCAGGGGCTCAAACGCCATCACATGTTTATAACCCAGATCGGAGCCAATGCTAGGGCACCAAATTGCACTTTGCTTTCAATTTGACATATTTAAACGTCAAATTCATTGTTCAAGAACAAAATTCCTTTCTAGATTCATGATATAAAGCCATTTAAATTTGGTAAGATTTCTGTTTTAAATACAACGCGCTACAAATTTATGCTACCACACGTTTTGATCAGTACTGTATCATGGGCCCTTTAAGGGTATTACTATGAAAAGATTGTATAAATTTGTTTCAATTTTTATTTATAAAAAACACAGACGTACCTTTGATACGAGTTCTTACTGGATTGGGTTCAATGACCTCGATGAAGAGGGAACTTGGGCCTGGACTGATGGCTCAGTTACATCATATACCAACTGGTATTATGGTGAACCATGTAAGTAAATAACAACGGATTCATTTTGCAGAAAAGTAAAAGCGCTAGGCATGTTAGGCGTGGATGTCCCTCCGATAGAGACTGAAATATAAGCATAATTTATTCAAGCTGAACTTCTTTCCGTTCATAATAATACATTACTGATAACTGAACACAATTCTGAAGGTACCATCGTGGCGCTCCTACAAAATTTATCCGCACTGTGATTCGTCAAAGATATAGAATAATAGATGAATAAAAGATGACGTGATGGTCGTTTCTAACTATAGACCATTCTCATTACTGCCTAGCTTTTCTAAAGTTTTGGAACGAATAGTTTATAACAGGCTCTACAGTTTTTTAAAAATAAATGTGAATCATTGAATCCTGATCAATTTGGATTTCGGCGGTCTCATTCTACAGATCTTGCGCTACTGAAATTTTATGATCGCGTTTCAAGTGCACTCGCTGCTCACAAGCATGTCATTGGTGTATTTATGGATCTGAGTAAAGCATTTGACACACTTGACCATTCAATTCTTCTTTCTAAGTTAGAGCATTATGGAATAAGGGGCATAGCTTTACAATGGCTTGCGAGTTACTTATCTATGAGAAGACAGTACACTTATTATAACTCTGTTAACTCTGACATTCTGTATCTTAAATGTGGTGTTCCGCAGGGATCCATCCTGGGCCCATTATTATTTCTTATTTATATCAATGATATTTGTAATGTATCTAAAACTGTAAATTATACCTTATTTGCAGATGATACGAGTGTTTTCTTGTCTCATCGTGAAATCAACACTCTAGAACAGAAACTAAATTCGGAACTACCAAAGTTGACTTTATGGTTTAGAAGTAATGTGCGCTCTCTCAATGTTCTTAAAACAAATTATATTCATTTTAGAGGTAGAAAATCTAATGACAACCTTGCTCTTAATATTAAACTAGATGATATTTCTTTAGAGAGAAAGACATGTACAAAATTCCTTGGTGTCTATATCAATGAAAAACTTGACTCGAGCGACCATGTAAAACACATTGTTACACCAATCTCCAGAAATATTGGCGTACTGTATAAAATAAAATGTTTTGTTTCTGATAGAATATTACTTATGCTATATAATAGTCTAATTTTACCACACATTTCTTATTGTAATATTTTGTGGGCAACATCCAAGTGTGTGACTAATAATATTCTTCTGTTACAAAAGAAAGCTGTACGCATGTGTACCCGAGCTGGTTATCGTGACCATGCTACCCCACTATTTGTTAAACTGAAATGCTTAAAGATTGATGATATTAACTTCCTCCAAATTGCCATATTTATGTTCCGTTTTAATATCAAATTATTACCTACGTCATTATCTTCAATGTTCCAACCTAATAACATGGTTCATTCGTATTCAACAAGGCAGTCATCGAATGTACATGTGGTCAACCCTCACACTACATTAGCCCAGAAATCAATCAGACACAGAGGTCCAGATGTATGGAATTCTTTACCTAATGATATTCGAAATATAAAATCAACAAACTCTTTTAAAAGAGCACTCAAATGTATTATCATTTCACAGATGTAAGATATTACTTACATTATGATCTATTTATCAGTTCTAATTAAATCTAACTTAATTTTGTTACTAGGCCTAACGAAAAAAAAAATTCTTTCTTTCTTTTTTTAAAAAACTTTGTAAATAATGTAAATAGTTCTCTACAAAACTTTAGGAATTTTATTTGTCATATATTATATATTTGAAAGGTGTTGTAACGATTCAAGCTCTATTTGCTTATGTTTCATCACCTTTGTGTGTTCATTCTTCAAACTGTATATAAGTTGCAACTTGTCTTTGATAAAACAATGTTATATTCTTTTTCACGTGAAGTTAATTCAAATGTATTGTAAAATTGAAAATGATTTGTCATCTTATATTAATTTTCATGTGATGTTAACTTCAATGAATTGTGAAATTGTGAACATGCATAAATAAATAAATAAATAAAAAATAATAGCTTAGGTTTGCGTTGCACTAGAATGTTAGTTTACATTTTATTGTAAGGGTTACTTGTATGTTGGGTCGAGTGTTTATTTTTGTTGCAGGGTTCGGTGAGGGTAGGATGTTGATCGTGGAGCAGTTATTACTGGAGAATGTTTCGCAACGAAGACAGTTCTTAAAGGCCCACTGCACTACTGGTAGTTACTTGCGCCCTCTATATAACATACAATGCCTAATCGGTGACCATTGGTCCCCCATGATCCTCTTTGTCTTATGTTAACTAAGAGCTGAGTTGATGACATAACCACCTGTCCAGTGACCTTGCAGAGCGGTCTAATCCCTCCTGTAAACTATGGCAGATAAGCTTTAAATCAAATATGAAATATAGCTTATAAGCTAAGCTCCTCATTTCTGATATTGTTATCTCTTTATTTAGCTGGTGGATCTGAACATTGTGGTGTATTACGATTGAGTTCAGACGGCACATGGTATGATGCAAGCTGCTCGTCAACATACGGCTACATCTGTAAATACCCGCTAAACACCAGTAAGTCACACTCCATATGTTTATAATAAATATATGGTCTCTTTGACTCAGGGCTCGAATATAATTCAACGTTTAACATAGAAATTGCTTTAGTGAACTTTCCACCTTGTTAAACAAGGTCTCTTGGCTCTAGACTAGCTGTATTGCTTAGTGTAGCCTATCTGCTGAATTATTATGATATACTTTAAAATAAAATGAAATAATATGTTTTTTATTTAATTATGTCATATATTGTTTGTTGTAAATCTAGGATCACCGTCATTTAATGACGTTCAGTAAGAGGTTCAGTCACACTTAACTCATCGATCAATAGCTATACCATGATGACTTAAACTCATGTCCGAGTAGGACCGAAGAAAAAAAAACTCCTTGATATAATTATTTACTCTCCTTCCTCTTCCTTTCTCTTGATCAGTTTCCTGTGCTGAATGGAAGCGTAAAGGCTATACATCTAATGGATACTACACAATAGATCCTGATGGGAGAAATAATGGAGTCGATCCATACAAAGTATACTGTGATATGACTACGGATGCTAGCACAGGTAACATATCAACCATAAATTATTAGTTAAAGTAATCACGAATCGGTCATGTACAATAGTGACAAACATAACAAAGTTACGATACCACATGAATATTGTAATCTTTTCGATATTTACAAGTCCTAAAACGCCGTTTTCTTGAAATGTACTGCATTGACAGGGATCAGGAAACAAAGGGGAAATGAAACGTAAATCATAATTATGACGGTCAGGGATCTGACTTACTTTTACCTCTCATTTATTTGCCTATCTCTCAATTTGAGGAAAAAACACGGCGCAGTATTCTCAGTAACATTCATGAGTAACACCAATATCATACCAATCTATAAAAAAGATGACCCCTCTTCTCTCTCGAACTATCGACCAATATCCACATTACCAAGCTTCTCTAAAATCCTTGAAAGAATTGTTTATATTCATCGTCAAAATCATTATCTGCATTGTCAACGAAACCATCATCTCTATGATCTAAGTAGTATAATAAACACCATTTTTCGAAGCGCAAATCTAATTTTGTTTATATAAACAGATTATATACATTTTTAACTCAAAATGACTCGCCGAACCCAGATCAGTTGGTTTCAGGAAGTTTCATTCAACTGATTTAGCACTACCCCAACTATTTGATAGAGTATCAAATGCCTTGGCTGATCATAAATATGTCATAGGCATATTCAAGGATCTCAGCAAGGCATTTGATACTCTTGATCATACTATATTATTGTATAAATTAAAGCATTACGGTGTACGAGGTAAAGCACTTAATGGTTGGAAAACTACTTATCATCAAGAAAACAATATACTCTATTCAATTCAGTTACTTCTAACGTATCGTCTATTAAATGTAGAGTTCCGCAAGGTCCCATACTTGGGCCACTATTATTTTTGATATTCGTCAATGATATATCTAAAAAGTTTCACCAATTCTACAGTATGTATTGTTTGCCGATGATACGAAGGTGTTCTATTCACATTCTGATTCAAATTCGCTGATCGCAACCATGAACATTGAACTACCTAAGTTATCGAAATGTTTCAAAAACAACATATTATCATTGAACCTAAAGAATATTAATTTTATTTACTTTAGAAGCTCAAGAAATCAAACTATTCATAATTTTAACGTTTTTTTTATTGCGTATTATGTTTAAATCCACCATCAAAACTTGCTTACCTTCAATCTTCATAAGTACCACTCGTATACGCGTCGATACAAAACTGAATAATTTTCAGTACTCTTACCTTTTCGCTTCCATTCATTGAAACTTTGATTATAACCTTCCATGACCTAGTATGCATAAACGTATGAATAGAAGAGTGGTCTACTTGGGATACTGACTAAACAATGTTTTGTATACAAAGGTTTACAGTCTTTATAAACCATTTTTTTTTTCTTTCTCTCTCCTATCTCTCTCTCTCTCTCTCTCTCTTTCCCCTTTTTACTAATATTCGTTCCTCCATATTAGTATTAGTATGTATCCATTGAGGGTAGCCATGCTATCAAGCTTTGCTTACTTTGTCAACCCTCCTGTTTGTTGTTTTCGATAAGTTACAGCCAGCTTTACTTTATTCGACATTATATTCTTTTGAAATGTGTAAAATTTGCAATATTTTGTTTGTTATATATTTTTAACAATGCAAAGGAAAAGAAAAATCAAACAGAAATAAATAAATCAAATCAAATCAAATCCATTATTTGTTACTATTCATGAAGAAATTATCAGTGTGTTTACTCATTATTTTTACAATTTTTCGTGGTTATCTTGGCTAGGTATTACGACGTTCGAGCACCAGGAGGCGAATCGATCTTTAGTAGCAGGTGCACAAGTGGCTTTTAGTTTCATCCGAAACATTACCTATGGTGACAAGTCGGTTGATCAAGTGGCTACCGGTGCCGATATCAGCGGGGAGTGCTACCAATATATCAAGGTAGGGTAACACCGAGGGTTCTACTTTTTTTTCAAAGTTCCTCGATGGTATAAACAATATATATATATATTTATGTATATATATATAAATTATGAGAAATTGCAAACAATAGTAACATGGCACTTATCATGGTAATGAGGGCGGGAGAACAAGAGCAATGCAAAAATGTATATCACAGATAATATGTAAACTAATGATGGGGCAGGTCTGTGGAATAGCAAAGGACAGAAACACAGAGACATTAGGATAATGGTAGTCGGTTTTGGGGGAAAACTGAAAGAGGGAAGAACAGTGATCATTCAGAAGCATAGGCGCCGGAAGTGGGGGGGGGGGCAGGGGGGCAGTTGCCCCCCAGTCAAAAAAGTGGGGGGGGGGGGGGGGGGGGGGAAACGCATTTTTGCCCCCCAAAAATGCCCCCCCCCCTCCGAAAAAAAAAACAGTAAAGGAGTAAACATGGTTTGTATTTTTAATCCAAAAGAACGCAACAATAATAAAAACCTGAATTAAATCACATATACAATTCCATTCAAAGAAAAAGGAAAGTTCACATTTCATAAACATCGCGCATGCCACCTATACGGTATTTTAAAGGTAAAGACCAGTAATGGTCATGCGATTGCATTGTGAAAGAAACGTTGTGGAATCGATCAGAAAAGGTTGATCATCTAGCATCTAGCATCTGCAAGGTTCTGGAATCATCAAAATGATAAGAAATTTGGCCCATTCTTCGTAAAGTTACAAGCACTATACACAGAAAGATGTATACGGGACTACCCTATATCTCTCACACGACCATGAGAGAAACAAATTGACCAAATATATGAATTAGTAGGCGGTTTCCCGGCAAATTTTTTATCAACATGTATTAGTCAAAACATATTCTTTCACATGATTGGTAATGAGAGCTTCCATTTCATTTTTTGAAATTGGGGCGTTACCAATACTGGTCTTTACCTTTAAATGGAGGTCTCTATAATACCGGTACGCGCATATCGTGGACATATTGTGCAAGAATGGAAATGCGTGTCCGTTTTTTTGTTATACGGGTGAGAAGACATGAGCCCCTGAACGCTGGCGTACTGATGGGGGGGGGGGGGGTAATGTATTTCTTATTCGAAACAAGTGATTTACAAATGTTGATGTTGTGACATGATTTTCTGGCATTTTTTCTCCATTTTTTTTGTAAGTCATACCTTTTTAGGCGTTTGTTGGAAAATAAGAAATTCCCACATTACAGTCAGGCGAAATACGCTTATTTAGAAGCCTTTATGTCATGGTCTGCAAAGTGGCGGGGCTCGAGCCCCCCCCCCCTCCTTTTTTAAAAAGAATGTTAAAGAGAAAAAGAAATAAAGACGGAGAAAAAAATAAGTGACCTGCCAATGTCACAAATAAGGTATAAAAAATGCTCATCTGACCGTAATTAAATGCTTAAAACCCCAGAGCTTTACGGGGGCTCCACCCCCGGACCCCACCAAGGGACCTAAGGCGGGCCCCTGGATGCTCATCTGACCGTAATTAAATACCATGCAGTGTTTTTTTCTTCTTTTTCCTTACTAGTATTTACTTTTTCTTTTTCATTTTTCCTACAGCGCGTAGAGATGTTAACAAATGTATTATGCGCTTTATAAGAACTGTACTATTATTATTATTATTATTACCTAAAACCCCCGAGCTTCCAGGGGCTCTGCCCCCTGGACCCCAACAAGGGCTCTAAGGCGGGCCCCTGGATGCTCATCTAACCGTAATCAAATACCTAAAACCCCTGAGCTTCTGGGGGCTCAGCCCCTTGACCCCCTGCCGAGGCTCATGACCTGGACCCCACGCCAATTTACGCTCTACCTGATCGATAATACTCCACTTTGAAAAACGTTCCGCGGGACCTGCATGTAACGTGTAAGACTGGTGGTGATGCAGATTTTTCGTCTGCCCCCTCCCCCTTCCGAACTGTTTTTCTCATTACGTCACTGCCCCTGGAATGTTTGCCCCCCCCCCCCCCAATCCCACACTGCTTCCGGCGCGCCTGTTCAGAAGGTACATGTAGACATTGATAATGGCCTAGAAGACGATTGTGTCGCATAGTACGTGTTATATACCTTAAGAAATCCAGCTATCTGATTGGTCGAAATTGCAGTCATGGTTTTAACCATTCCGGTAAATAAACGAGAAATGCCAACCTAATGTAATAGTTCTAGAGTAAAATCCAGGCTAAATTCTAGTTACCATGGTCACCGGGAAAATAGTTCAGTCTTGATGAAATACCTAAAGGTTCACATGTTAACACATGGTTTGAGCGATCGCGGATACCGTTCGAAAACGAAGAAGAAGAAAGGTCTTCACCCGGATAGGTCGCACTCTCGCCTTACTCTTGGATTATATCTTTGACTTTGTTTCTCATATAGAAATTGGGTTGTTCTTTTTGAAGTTTTTTGTTTTGGTTTTATATGACCACTTTTGGAGTAGAAATTTTTCGTAAGGTAAGCAAACACTGTGGGCTTTTCATTTCATTTCATTCCACTTCATTATAATTAGCTGCACGATACGCGCTATTCACATTTCGCGCTTTTTTTTCGAAAGCCAATCATGGCGGCTCACGCCTCCGAGCCGGAAAGATCCATGATGAGCGAGGATGAAATGGTATTTCAAACTGTGCACAACAGGAATCCTGCAAAAAGGCAACGTGGGAGAAGCTCTACTAATATAGAGATCTTAAAACACGCCTCAGAATCATACTCTTCGAACACCACTTTCCACACCACTTCCCCAAACCCAAACCCAAAGGGTTTTAACATTTTCATAACCCCAATAGATAGGACAAAATCGTTGAACAATGTAAATCCCATACAAATAGCCAAGGCAATTCGGCAAGTTTGCGTGAACCCTGTAGATTTTATCAAAACCACGAATACGGGACTCTTAATCAAGTGTAAAAATACTAAGCAGGTGAAGGCTATCTCAGAGATTAACAAAATAGGAAGTTTGATGTAAAAGTCAGAGAAGGAGTGAACGGAGCAAAGGGAGTCATTAATGATATCCCACTGGAAATGAAGGAAGAGGAAATTCTTAATGAATGGAAAACTCAGAATGTGATTGGGGTGAAGAGGATGGTGAAAAGAGTCCGAACAGATGAAACAATAGAAGGAAAGCGCCAAATCTCTCAAATTCCCATGCGCTGCGTTATTTTAACCTTCAGTAAAGTCACTATCCCCCCTGAAATCCACTTATGTTTCCAAATCAAGCGCGTAAAACAATATGTCCCACCTGTAATTAGATGCTATCAATGCCAAAGATTTGGACACAATGATTCACAATGTAATTTTAAAAAAAGATGCGTCCGATGTGGAGAAAACTACTCGTTCGATGAGTGTAAAAAAAAAGAAGACCGAAAGTGCGTAAATTGCGGGGAAAACCACTCTGCAGCCTACAGCGGCTGCGCACAAGCCAAAAAGGCAAAGCAGGTGCAGCAGGTAAGGTATACAAAGGGGCTAACGTACGCAGAAGCAACTCAGTCCTGGCAGCAACAAAATAAAAAAAAGAATCAAATCCACAGCCTATTCAACAGAAAAATAAAGCCAACAAAATATTGAGTAAGGAAACCGAAAAACAAACAAACGAACGTCAAAGGAAACACCACAAGGCACTCCACCTATGACCAACTTCATAGCCTCGGCTAGTGATGAACAAATTATAGATTTTATTTGCCAACTAATTTTTAAATTCACAGAAGGTAGAACTGAAAAAGAATTGAATACTCTTGTTTGCGTTGCAGCCAAAAAGGCGCTGCAACAAAATAGTACATAATTATGATAGAACAAATGATAGTGATTAATTTATTCATGTCACTTTCCATTTTACACTGGAACGCCCAGGGACTCTTAGGGCACGGCAATGAATTATTAAATTATTTAAACTTACACAAGGATTTTAAATATGATATTATTTGCATACAGGAGACCTGGTTTCATAATAACATAATTTTGAATATTCCAGAATATACATGCTTTCCTAGAAACAGACAATATAACATTAGAGGAGGCTGTGCTATATATGATCATAAAAGGATTAAGTACGAGGGTCCTTTCACAGATGCAAACTTAGAATTACAGCAAATGAATGTTTACATAGGGGGGGGGGGAATTGTCAATCATTAATTATTATAACCCTTGTAATAAACTGAATGAAAATATTATGAATAAGTTAATGGAAAATGTATCTAAAATGAAAACGTCCTAATAATGGGAGATTTTAATGCTCATAATGTTTTATGGAGCAGCGAGAAAACAGACAAAAACGATGAAGTTATAGAACATTTTTTGAATAAGAACAGTTTGGTTATTTTGAACAATGGAGAGGGGACCAGATTAGACCCACGAACGGGGAAAACATCATGTCTGGATCTAAGTATCACATCTCCTTCTTTAGCGTGTAAGTCTACATGGGGAGTCATGCGGAGTACGTTTGGTAGTGACCACTTCCCAATCTCTCTCCAAGTGTCTCTCGAAAAAAGTACAGATCCGCATAGAGCAAATGCAGGTATGCTTAATGGAAATGTGGTAGAAAAGCCTTTTTCTTTTAAGAATATAAACTGGTCCAATTTTGCAACGAAATGTGAAGAAGTATTAAATGGATAGATTACATTAAAACACACAAATGTAAAGGAAATGTACACCCAATTTATGGAGTACTTAAAATAATTTATAAAGGAAACTGTTCCCCAAAAGCGTAAAAAGAAACGAAACCCGGTCCCATGGTGGACAAAAGAATCTTCTGCTAAAATTAAAGAAATAAATAAAGCGAGTAACAAGCTCTCTAAAGGTACAATGATAACACTGGAGAATATAGATGATTATTTTAACAAGAGAACAATGGCACAACGAGTTCTCCGCCAAGCAGAACAAAAATATTGGCAAGCCTTTTGCACGAAACTGAACCATTACATGCCTGAGTCAAAAATCTGGACCTGCATAAAACGACTAAATGGTGTTTCTGGTGCGAGGCCAAAAAATATGTCATCATTGACAGAAAATGACAAAGAAATAACTCGGGAGGATGAAAAGGTGGATGTTTTTGGACACTACTTTTAATCTTTAGGAATGACAGAAGATAGGGTAAATGAACAGTATTTAGCTTTAGTAAAGAATAGCATGAATATTCAGGAGAGTGTTTCAATGAACCCTTTTTACTCATTGAATTTAGAAAAGGCAGTACAGTAAAAAAAGCGGACTGCCCCTGGTCAAGATAACATTCCTTATGAGGTGTATGAAAACTTTCCTAAAGAAACTAAAAAGGTTATGTTAGATGTAATAAACAGGATTTGGGGAACAGGGGAAATACCCCTTCCACTGAAGCACTCTATTTTGATACCAATTTTGAAACCTGGAAAAGATCCCCGGAAAGCGTCATCATATAGACCCATTTCACTCACATCATGCGTCGTCAAAATAATCGAGCGTTTGATCAAAGAAAGATTACAATGGTATGTGGAAAAACATGAGATACTACCTAATTTTATAAGCGGGTTTAGAAAAGGGCGGAGTGCCATAGACAACATAATTCTCCTAGAAAACGATATTCAGAAAAGTATAAATTGTAATGAGCACATAATAGCTGTGTTCCTAGATATTGAGAAAGCTTATGATAAATTACGGATAAATGGACTACTATTCAAACTCGCCCAAAAAGAAATAGAAGGAAATTTGTCACAATATCTACAAAATTATTTGACAGGACGTACCTTTCAGGTAAGAATTAATAATACTGAATCAAAAACATATGATATGCATAATGGACTCCCACAAGGAAGTATTTTGAGTCCACTGCTATTTAATTTAATGATTAGTGATATCCCTACAGATCCTTCAGTGCCTTTAGCTGTATATGCTGATGATTTTGACATATGGGCATCAGGTAGGGATATCCTTCAAATATCAAACAAACTACAGGAATACCTGAATAGGCTCCAGACTTGGTTTCGCAGATGGGGATTTCGGCTTTCGGCTGATAAGACAGTCCCTATATTTTTTACAAAAAGTACAATGAATCTCTCACCACCGCAAGTAGAATTAGACGGGAATAAAGTGCCCTTTCAGAATACTCATCATTTTCTGGGGGTAATTTTTGATAAGAAATTGACCTGGAAGCCACACGTTGAAAATGTTGTAAAGAGATGTAAAAGAAAATTGAATATCCTAAGATGTTTAACGGGAACTAAATGGGGGAGCTCTTCTAAATCCCTCGTAAAGGTTTACAGGGCATTCATAAGATCTTTACTCGACTACGGATGTGAGGCTTACGATAGCGCTACTACCACCACAAAAAAGGCACTTGATTCGATGCAATACCAGGCGCTACGGATTTGTGCGGGAGGACTACCTCTCACTTCCCTACAATCATTACAAGTGGAAATGGGTGAATTTCCCTTGGATCTAAGGAGACAAATTGTGTCAAGTAAATATACACAAAGTATCGAAAGATCCCCAAACCACCCATTATCACAAAACATAGGGCCATGTTGGCAATTTCATTATCTCAAGGGAAAAGACTTTCTTAGTAAACCTTTCGGGTATAGAACCCAGAGTAAAATTAAAAAAACTTCATGACAGAAACTGCCGTACCATCCCCATTCCCGCCATGGCTTTTTGAACCCCCACTGGTTTCGACCGAGTTGAGCTCTCGGATTTCAAAAGCCGACCATCCGAATGATCTACAACAACAAAGCTTAGAATTGATTAATTCAAAATGGTCGAACCAGTTGCATATATATACAGATGGATCTAGGTTTCCGGAGAAGGGCCAATGCTCGGATGCTTTCTATATCCCACACTTTTTTGTACACCAATGTAAAAGATTAGCGAATTTTACCTCATCGTATAGAGCCGAGTTGGCTGCCATTGTTCTTGCCCTTCAATGGATCGAAGAAACAAATATCTATACAGGTGCAGTCATTTTTAGCGACTGCTTAAGTGCCCTCACAGCCTTGAAACATTTTAGTGACGAATCCTTTGTCACAGAAATATTTATAATAACGACCCGATTGAAATATATATGGATCGAAATCGCTTTGGAATGGATTCCAGGCCACTGTGGGATAGTGGGAAAGGAAAAGGCAGACTTCTACGCAAAAAAAGCTCTTACTCAGGAAATTAAAATGCGTAATAAATTGACGTTATTTGAAAAGACAAGTTTAATTTTGTACAGTTCAAAGTTACTTTGACCAGAAAGGTGGAATGATACCCAATCGGCATTAAAAATCCTTCAGCCAAATGTTATCACACAATATTCTTGTAAATTGGGAAGAAAAACTGAAACTATTCTTAGGCTACTACACCTGGGAGTGTCTGGACTCAATCAAGACCTCCTACGTTTGGGCATCCACTCCACAGGTTTCTGTGACAGCTGTCCAACATTAGAAACGGTCAGACACTTTTTGATACAATGTCCAAAGTATATAATAGAAAGGGCCATGTTAATGTCAGAAGTTAATATTTCCAAGGAAGAGGAAATTATGATATGTTTACGAAACAGTGACTCTCGTGTACAAATGGCAATTGCTCGCTTCGTTTTTAGAACGAAGCGATTATGTATAGAGTAAAATCAAAAAGAGATGAAAAACAGAAACCGCAATTAATTTGAACTGAATAGAAGAGAAAATAGGTATTTTGTGTTTAACCTTATATAGGCCTATTAATTAAAAAATAAAATAAAAATAAAAACAAACAAATAATTGAAACAATTTATTATTATTTATTTAACCAATAGGAAAACATATCTTAATACATACACACAACTTTAGGGAAGTGGAGAGGAGAGAGAGAAGGATACAATCTGCTGGCCAGGGTGACAAAAGCAATTAAAACTTGCTATTTACTCGAAAGCTTGTCACCCCCCCCCCAATAATTATAGTAGTTAAAAGTCATGCACTATATAAATAATCTCATGAACTAACTCATATAAACTAATAAAGCCCACAAGTGTTTTGCTTAATATGCATTTGTTTTTCTCCTAATAAATAAATAAACCCTCTAAACATACAGGGACACGACGCCACCTTATCTATGCCAGAGTGACCTAGGTTGAGTGTATTAACCGAGAAGCGTACGGCGTAACGTAACTCGCTGGGCTGGTAAGAAGGCATCATAGAAAGGACAGGGCCAGCGTGAGTTGGAACTGGGTGCGGATCGTAGTTTAATTTGAAATAACTTTTTGTTTTTGTTTTTTGTAGACTATGACTAATATTATATCAAAATGAGATTGGAAAAAGAAAGAAAAAATAATAATTTTACCAAGAAATTAAAAGAAAAAGATGCAATGAAATTGGCAACAATAGTCAAATTTGACTAATAGCCATTATAATATCAAACGAAGAAGAAGAAGAGGAGAATCGGTCGGTATTTTTAATACGGCAATCTCGATTGTACAAACAAGGCAAAAATGGCTGAAGAAACTCTCCCAAGATGTCAACTTCTTGATGATGATCAAATGCAAGACTTGCTGACAGCAAGAACACCAAAAAGGGTACGAGTAATTCTCCATTCATTTTTTTTCAAAATAGATCTAGTAGGTCTAGGCCTAGATTCTAGTAGTGCTAAAATCCTTCCCGTAGAGATTGCACACATCCCTATGAATTGGCCATTGCGCACTCATGCTAAATTGGTCGATGTTTTATTTACCAGAGATTCAAACTCATATTGCTCGTGATCCTGAAGGTGATACTCAATAAGTGAGGTGTCATATGAAAGCGCAGGTTTTTTCCATATTCCCCACAGGGCCGGCCCACCCCCAAAATTGTAAAAATATCTTGCTTAGACTAGCATCTAGATCTAGTCTACTCTCAAAGATACACTCATAAACGACAACCGTGCAGATAAACTAGAGAAAGGCCAAGGTGGTGTCATAAGTTGACTCTTTATTTTTTCGGCATATAAAAGTATTAATGACTGCTCTAATATTCGAGAAATAGTTGTTTGTATACGCTCTCGGGAAATTGGGCTATTGCCCTCGGCACGGCTCGGGCAATAGCACAATTGTAACTTTCCCTTGAGAGCATAAAAACAACTATTTTTCTCAAAGCAGTCATTAATACTATACTATGACATGCTACATCATATCTAGGGTTCAACATTACCTATTTTCCTGTGATCGCAGATATTCAGCAATCTCAAGGTGATATTTCTTTTCTTTTTTTTCTCTTCCATTACCGTCTTAGTACGAATGCCATCATTCCCAAATGACTGGCTCTACTGCTTGGTATGACAGAGACGGAAAACAAAAGAACTACTGGGGTGGAGCCACGGTAGACAGCGGACAGTGCGCTTGTGGAATCTCAGGTATGATTGTAGGTCATCTTAGAGGGCATCCTTGGCTTACATGATCAGAGCTATCCATGTACAGAGTTTGGCCAACTTGGCATCAGTTGGTTACAACATGACGTATTCTTATTCATTTTTTTTTTTGTGCTAGCCCTCGACAAAGCAGTATTCGCAATAGTGTAACCAACTAGAACCGTGTTGCTCAAACTCTGTATATTGATTAATCTGCACTGAATGGAATGGGATTATCTCACTTGAATGCAACAACAGTACTGTCCTTGTAAAACATTATCTCAAATAGTGAAGTATTATTCGATAACATAAACCGAAGAATTGGCGTTGCAAAAGTTGTAAACATTGCAGCTTTCTGCGCACTAAACCAAAAACCAAGCACCTCGGAAAAACATGTAAATACGTTTAATTTTAAATGAAAAGCCTACATATCCCATCGAGATAAGCTATGAACGAATGGATCTTTATCTTTGTCTTTCAGGTTCATGTCACAACGGTCACCAATGCAACTGCGATGCTAATGACAATAACTGGAGAGAGGACTCGGGGTATCTTACCGATAAGACTACTTTACCTGTTACTGAAATGAGGTTCGGTGTGACAGGACTAGCAAACGAGTACGGGTATTATACACTAGGACCATTATACTGCAAGGGAGATGAATCTTGTAAGTTTTATATGAATTTGATTACTTATTATCACATAGCTTCGTAAAAATGTGTTATTCTAAAAGAGGTTGGCAGTAAACGTATCTGGCATTATGACTCCCAGAAAGAGAAGTAGTATGAAACAAAATTAAATTTGCGCTCCGAGAAATGGTGGTTATCATACTTGTTAGATGATAGAGATGATGGTTACGTTGACAATGCAGATTATGATTTAAACGATGAATATAATGATGATGGAGATAATGATGACGACGACGCCGACAATGCAGATGATACTGATAATGATCCCGATAATATAAAAATCAGGGATTATTTACCATTCAGATAGAATATTTGGCGAAATGACACTGACCTTGTGCTTCGTCCTTTCCTTCCATTCCTTAGTCCTTGTGACGGGTCGTACAGATTTCATGTTCATCAAAGAAAGTCACCTTAGTGGTTACAACAACGCGATCATGTCTCTCATCACGGTTGAAGAATGCGCCACGGCCTGTGTGTCAGCCTCCAGCTTCATATGTAGATCGTTTGACTATGGTCCATTCTACAGCTGGTGCTATCTCAGTGAGGAGAATGACTTGACTGTTGACCCACTTATCAATTCTGCTCTTCTCCTGTTTGTTCGGATCAGTAAGTTTTCAGTTCCATGTCAGTCTTCTGGATTATTAATAAGCTCAAAGGGCGCTGACGTGGTGACACTAGGGACTTTTAGATTTACACGACGAGAACGTGGACCACCACTTGTGACATCCTTTTAATGTAATGTGACGTCCTTTTAAGGCACTGCCGGGCACGGCCCCAGTGCCTTAACACAATCTCACACGTGGCAGTCCACGCTCTCGTCGTGTAAATCTAAGATTCCCTATGGTATTTGATGTGGTGACATTGTATTTGATTTACAACAGCCGTTCGATTCAATTCAACACTCATTCATTCAATCGGTCAATCTGTCCACAGCCAATACACCCAGGCATTCATTAAACAATCGTAAGAAACCTCCTGAGTTTGCAAATTAATGTACTCGATGTTGCTTGGTTTACCGTTCGCTTCTTAAACTATTCCGAAATGTTTCCCCCAACTCCTAGTTAGGCACAATTCCACCTGACTGTGGTACACTTTGCATTAACAAGATTGAATTGTTATATTAATTCCAATCTTTTTCTCATCTTTGTTTCCTCAGTGGACCGCATTGAAGACCCATTTACTGGTGGGTAAATCATCTTACTTTTTTTTCCTCAGCAAGATACGAATTGATAGTGATATGTGATAATGTATTTCAATGTTCGTTACCGTCTATTACCATGAAGTGTATTTTTATTAATGATTATTTCTTTATAAAGGTTATGCTTTCTGGGAGAAATTTCAATTATTTAAACATATTTGTGGCTTACACTCAGTAAATAAGATCGATTGATCGATCTGTAATTGAAAAACAAGTCAGAAAAAAATATTGTAACCAGCGGGACTTGAACCTGAATCTACTGCTTGCCGGGCAGCGACTCTGCCACCAGGCCATCACTTGTCCATGACACAGTCAAGATGAATTATAAAAAATACCCAAGCTCTCTTGATTCATTCATTAGTCCGCCATATGACAATAACTTTTATAAATGCAATGCTTCCTGGAATCCTGGGAGGAATTTCAATGATTTAAACATATTTGTGGCTAACACCCTGTAATAAGATCGATCGATCACTCCATCTATGAAAGATGAAGAAAACAAAGACATAAACTAACTTTTAGTGGGACTGTGCCATGGACCAGTGATGACTGGGGCCTGTCTCACTAAGCGCTAAGATGCGTCTTAAGCGGCCTTAAGTCCCGTTATAGGACTTAGTGTAAGATGCATCTTAGCGGGAGTTTCACAAAGCCCACTAAGACGCGTACCGTACTTAGTACCCATTTAACTAAGTTGCATACAGGTCGTAGCCTACGTCTCGTCGAGACGAGACGTAGGAACAGTTCTTAGTGTAATGTCATGTGATAAATTTCGCGCCAAATTTATAAGTTGTTCTAATTCGATCTCGATGATGGTCGATCTTCAAATATTGATGGCTTTGACGTTTCATTAAAGTATTTGAGAAAGAAGACGATTCGTCGGACTCATTGTCTGAATTTTCAAAAATGTTTCTTTGTCTGATAAAAAGTCAGAGTTCGTAGGGGAAATTTTTTTGCTGGCCGACCGACATAATACATCTCACCAGCTTCAAACTTCTGCATTGATATAGCACACGAGGATCGAGCAAGACTTCACCCAATAATTCCCTCTCTCTTCTACTGCACCCGGCTCTTATTCCTGTCTCTCTCTTCTCTCTTTCACCCCCCCCCCATTTCTTTTCTTCTTTTTTCATTTTTCTCTTCACTTTTTCCTTCCTTTTCTCCTTATTTTCTTTTCTTTCTTTTCCTTTCTTCCTCTTTTTCTTGTTTCTCTTTCTTTCTTTCTTCTCTTCTCTTACTTTCTTGCCTTTTTTTCTTTTTCTTTCCCTCTCATTTTCCATCCCCCTTTCTCATTTTCCTGACAGTTGCGCAATTTTACCGACAATATCCATACATTTCGCTTTCAATATTTTACTTCAATGTTGTCTTAAGAAAAATTTTAATACCATACCTTCCCCATGTGTACCCAACAGAGTCGAAGTAATGTTAAACAATCACTTAAAGTGATAACATTCAGCCTCCTTTCACTTTTTCGCCCCAAACGACACGATGCAGACGAAAACTTACAGGAAAAATTACTTTTATCTCCGCACAAGTTCGAAGGTCACGAAATTCGGCTTCGTAGAATCAAAATCCAGACGTTTCATTGTTGAAGATGCGCCGCACACAGGACTTGTAAAGAACGGTTTAGTGAAACTGAAACACCAACAGGATGTCAGTAAGACCCGTCTTAGTGCATGACGCGTCGCAGCGACACTAAGTCCCGTTACACTAAGTACTGTTTAGTGAGACAGGCCCCAGGTGGTAGAGTCGGTGCCCGGCAAACAGTAGATGCAGGTTCAAGTCCCGCTAGTTCTACATTAATTTGTTCTGACTTGTTTTTCAATTACAGATCGATCAATCGATCTTATTTACTGGGTGTAAGCCACAAATATCTTTGAATAAATTATTATATTGTTTAACAAAACTTATGTTTAAAGGATATCAATATATCTTATACCGCGAGAGGCAGAGTAGTCAGCAGCAGATCATGGAAACTTACGAAACATTTTATCCTTTGATATTATTATTCTTATAAATTCATGATAAGCATATCATTTTAGAAACTTTGAATAAGTTCCTACCAAATTACAAATGAATGATGTAATACTTCAGTGCTTTTATAGCTCGTATCACCGCCGTAGCATCTCTATGCGTTTAGAAGAAGAAAAACATCAACAACATGTAATATGAAAGACGGATGCTGTACTTGCCCGACAGAAAATCAGTAAATATGCGTTTTGTACAATATGTTTTTAGGAGGGTTTTTATAGAACACTAAATTCTGAATGATTCCTTTACATGAGGTCGTCACGATGGCATTAGAACCATTTTCTGTCGTGAAGATGAAGTTATATGAGTACTACGAGAGAATAATAACAGTATAATTTGGTAATCTGGTAACGCCGAAACTTCTACCACCCTGTTATGAAGTAGCTACAGCTATAGTGATTTCATAAACATATATTTTTTAAATCAAAACTAGTCACAATTTTAATGAAAATGTCATCATGTTATATTTATGTAGTCTTTCGTATTCGACAGATCATCTATTGATTTCGTCCGAATTCTCCTTCTCTATTCCTTTTTTCATTTTTTTATTTGTGTTTTTATTGGAAAATCAAAATAATTCATTTACAAATAATTAGAAACAAATTCATTAAACAGAATAACAATAAAATATAGTTAATGGTAGAAAATGAAAGAAAAAAAACTGAAAATTAAAAACGTTAGAAAATAAATATTTTTCAAGAACGAAGCCCCCCCCCCTCCCCTAGACAAAAAAGATGATGCTTTATTAGGTGGTTTGTCATTGGCAGACTAGCTATTAATTACGTCCGAATTTTCTTCTTTTTTTTTTTCTTTATTCTCCACTTTTCTGTGCAGACGATTACTCAAACTCGGTTCAGCAAATTTCTTTCACTTTTGGCACAGTCATAGGTCATTATCATAATACGTAACAGCAACCTTTTCAAGGTCATCAGGTCTTTATTCTTCTCTCTCACCCTCTCCCTTTCCCGCCTCTGGTTTTTGTTCTACCTCTATTATGTCTGTTAATGTTCCTGAACTTTCTCTAACTCTTCCCATCGCCCTTTGTATTCATATTTCACCCCTACCATGTTTCCTTACTTTCCTCTCTCCTTCCAAGTGCATGCATTCTGATTCCTCTTGTATCCCTCTGTCCAGCTCATGTGGGAATTAGGTGGTCTGGCAACGACAGATCAACTATTGATTTCGTCAGAATTTCTTTGTTCATTAGGTGGTCTGTTAGCGACAGATCACTTTTTAATTTCGCCAGACATGTTTTTCTTTATTTTTATTTTTTTATTTCTCCACTTTTTCGTACAAGCGATTACTCAAGATCGGTTCTGTCAATTTCTTTCAATTTTGGCACAGTCATAGGCAGCGCTCAAAATACACGTGAGCTCCATAATCGCCCCCATTATTATAAAATAAAATAAAGATTTTCAGCGAATTGAATAATATTGAAAAGGATGAAATTCATAGTTGTACTCGATAATACTCACTTAACATATTCTCTCTCTCTCTCTCTCTCTCTCCCTGTCTTGCATAAAGAAAATATGAAAATAATATTTTGCCTTGATTAAGAAATATTAAAAAATGTTATCAGTATTAAACAGGGAGAAGGAAGGGGAGGAAATTAATCAAAACAAACATTGAAGAATCCAATTCAGTGTTCTTTCGTGATGCATAAGAATGAAAGTACATTAAAAGGTGAAATAATAAATTGAAGACCGATGATGAATCAATTCTTTGACGTTGATTGATTGAATAAAAAATAATGAAACAATATGGTCTGAAGGTCATATATCTTCGAATATTAGAAAGTTTCATCCACCATCGTGTTGTTGAACACTATTTGCAATTTAATTTTAATGCGGTGACGTGTCGGTTACGAGCAGAAGGTCATATCAGGCTTCTATATTTTATAATACTATCAACAGATATTTGGATAGAGACACTTCGTCACATCAAGCTACGAGAAAGTATATCATCATCTCACAGAATTCTACTCGAACACCGCATCGAAATTCTTTTCACCCTTTTTATTCTTCTTCTTCTTTTTTGGTCCCTTTTAGCTCTCCTTTTTTCCTTTTCCTTCCTTCTCTCTCTTTTTTTTTTAGCGGGGGCGGGGGAGGCAAAGGCCTTTTGCCCCACCCCCATCCGCAACTTGTTGCGGGAAAATTGCAAGTGATATCCCCCTTCTTTTCTTTACTTCTTCCTCAATTTTCCTTCCCTTTCCTCTTTCCCTTTTTTCTTTCCATTTCCTTCCTTCCTTTTCTCTTATTTTGTTTTATTGGGGGGAGACAACAGCCTAGGAGGCAAGGCCCTTTCGCCCCCCCCCCATCTCCTTCTTCCCCTTTTGTTTTCTTCTTCCTCTTCTTTCTTTCCCTTTCTCTCCTCTTTCCCTTTCCCTCTTTTCCTTCTCTCTCTTTCTCTCTCTCTCTCTCTCTTTTGCGGAAGGGGGGGGGGGGGGGAGCAAGGCCCGCTCACCCCCGCTGGATCCGCGCCTGCATCTACCTTATATCTACTAACGTTAGACCCTAATAATGGATCTAGAAGATTGATTGACCTGGTCTCAGTGACGGGTAAACTTTTTTTTCTCAATTACTTGGGTCTAACCATAAAAAACGTCTAATTTTACTTTAGATTTTCAAACAGTTACGACCTAAATTAGGCCTAAGGCCAAGGGCTGTACTCTACAGTTTAATAACAAATTAATGTTAACGTTAGACTTAACTTAAACTGTTGTTTCTCTGTGATACAAGTGGGAAAGGAACACTTCTTTTTTCCAAAAAAAGAAAGAAGAAAATTTCCCTTATTTCCACCTTCTTTTTTCCCAGGGGGGGGGGGGGGGGTGGGGCGGCCCCCGCCCCCCTGGATCCGCCACTGATCACGGGGATAAAAGTATACAGCTATGTAACAAGTAAATTTCTAAGAGGGAGAATGCCGACTTAAATAAATGATAATGATAAAATACCAAGGAATTAGGAGTTTCATCCAATGGAAATTTGTATTAAAATAAGAGTCCCCGTCAGCACTAAAAGAGCCCCCGTGAAAAGGTTCACGGGGGCTATTTTTTTGGAAGAGCCCCCGTGGACAAAAATTTAATTTGAGCCCTGGTCATAGGTCATTGTCGTAACACATGACAGGAACAAGGTTATCAGGTACTTGTGACGTCATCCAAGCGCCATTTTGAGAAAATCAACTTATGATCATATCTTCATAACGGAAATTCATTTGAAGGACACAATCCTCTGTGGGTAAGCCATTGCGAATGACATGCATTGTGGAAAAGGTTGGGCTACCTATATAAAGATGAAGATATAAAAATTAAAGATTGGTCCCTTATCAAAGGAATCGTAGCGATTTACAGAACTTACGCAATTACTATTTAGAAAACTTGATTTGAATTTGTACAATTATATATCATCTAGATGATGATACAAGTGATCAGGATCTGTGTGACGCTGGTTGGACACGTAACGGTAATGCATGCTACCAACTAGTTGAATCTACCGTCGACTATAGAACAGCCCTTGATGCGTGCAGAAATCTCAATGACTACGGTGATCTGGCGAGCGTAGCTGATCAAGACGAAAGCAACTTTCTTTTCGTTTATTCGAGGTAAGCCCCTACCCCAACCCCACCCCTCGAATACAGGAGCCACATCATGGAATACTCCGTTGGCAGAAACCCTCACCCACACGCACAGGCACACCTTTAGCCGCGTACCCTCCCATGCCACCTTCCACCTACAAGCATGCGCAGAGCGTGGCCTGTGGACGAGTATGCTCAGGGGCTCAAACGCCATCACAGTCTTATCACCCAAATCGGAGCCGATGCTAGGGCACCAAATTGCACTTTGCTTTCAATTTGACATATTTAAACGTCAAATTCATTGTTCAAGAACAAAATTCCTTTTTAGATTCATGATATAAAGCCATTTAAATTTGGTAAGATTTCTGTTTTTAAATACAACGCGCTACAAATTTATGCTACCACACGTTTTGATCAGTACTGTATCATGGGCTCTTTAAGGGTATTACTATGAAAAGATTGTATAAATATGTTTCAATTTTTATTTATTAAAAACACAGACGTACCTTTGATACGAGTTCTTACTGGATTGGGTTCAATGACCTCGATGGAAAGGGAACTTGGGCCTGGACTGATGGCTCAGTTACATCATATACCAACTGGTATTCTGGAGAACCATGTAAGTAAATAACAACGAATTCATTTCGCAGAAAAGTAAAAGTGCTAGGCATGTTAGGCGTGGATGTCCCTCCGATAGAGACTGAATTATAAGCATAATTTATTCAAGCTGAACTTCTTTCCGTTCATAATAATACATTACTGATCACTGAACACAATTCTGAAGGTACCATCGTGGCGCTCCTACAAAATTTATCCGCACTGTGATTCGTCAAAGATATAGAATAATAGCTTAGGTTTGCGTTGCACTAGAATGTTAGTTTACATTTTATTGTAAGGGTTACTTGTATGTTGGGTCGAGTGTTTATTTTTGTTGCAGGGTTCGGTGAGGGAAGGATGTTGATCGTGGAGCAGTTATTACTGGAGAATGTTTCGCAACGAAGACAGTTCTTAAATCAAATATGAAATATAGCTTATAAGCTAAGCTCCTCATTTCTGATATTGTTATCTCTTTATTTAGCTGGTGGATCTGAACATTGTGGTGTATTACGATTGAGTTCAGACGGCACATGGTATGATGCAAGCTGCTCGTCAACATACGGCTACATCTGTAAATACCCGCTAAACACCAGTAAGTCACACTCCATATGTTTATAATAAATATATGGTCTCTATGACTCCGGGCTCGAATATAATTCAACGTTTAACATAGAAATTGCTTTAGTGAACTTTCCACCTTGTAAAACAAGGTCTCTTGGCTATAGACTAGCTGTATTGCTCAGTGTAGCCTATCTGCTGAATTATTATGATATACGTTAAAATAAAATGAAATAATATGTTTTTTATTTAATTATGTCATATATTGTTTGTTCTAAATCCAGGATCACCGTCATTTATGACGTTCAGTAAGAGGTTCAGTCACTATACCATGATGACTTAAATTCATGTCCGAGTAGGACCGAAGAAAAAAAAACTCCTTGATATAATTATTTACTCTCCCTTCCTCTTCCTTTCTCTTGATCAGTTTCCTGTGCTGAATGGAAGCGTAAAGGCTATATATCTAATGGATACTACACAATAGATCCTGATGGGAGAAATAATGGAGTCGATCCATACAAAGTATACTGTGATATGACTACGGATGCTAGCACAGGTAACATATCAACCATAAATTATTAGTTAAAGTAATCACGAATCGGTCATGTACAATAGTGACAAACATAACAAAGTTACGATACCACATGAATATTGTAATCTTTTCGATATTTACAAGTCCTAAAACGCCGTTTTCTTGAAATGTACTGCATTGACAGGGATCAGGAAACAAAGGGAAAATGAAACGTACATCATAATTATGACGGTCAGGGATCTGACTTACTTTTACCTCTCATTTATTTGCCTATCTCTCAATTTGAGGAAAAAACACGGCGCAGTATTCTCAGTAACATTCATGAGTAACACCAATACATACCAATCTATAAAAAAGATGACCCCTCTTCTATCTCGAACTATCGACCAATATCCAAATTACCAAGCTTCTCTAAAATCCTTGAAAGAATTGTTTATATTCATCGTCAAAATCATTATCTGCATTGTCAACGAAACCATCATCTCTATGATCTAAAAAGTATAATAACCACCATTTTTCGGAGCGCAAATCTAATTTTGTTTATATAAACAGATTATATACATTTTTAACTCAAAATGACTCGCCGAACCCAGATCAGTTGGCTTCAGGAAGTTTCATTCAACTGATTTAGCACTACCCCAACTATTTGATAGAGTATCAAATGCCTTGGCTGATCATAAATATGCCATAGGCATATTCAAGGATCTCAGCAAGGCATTTGATACTCTTGATCATACTATATTATTGTATAAATTAAAGCATTACGGTGTACGAGGTAAAGCACTTGATTGGTTCGAAAATTACTTATCATCAAGAAAACAATATACTTTATTCAATTCAGTTACTTCTAACGTATCGTCTATTAAATGTAGAGTTCCGTAAGGTCCCATACTTGGGCCACTATTATTTTTGATATTCGTCAATGATATATCTAAAAAGTTTCACCAATTCTACAGTATGTATTGTTTGCCGATGATACGAAGGTGTTCTATTCACATTCTGATTCAAATTCGCTGATCGCAACCATGAACATTGAACTACCTAAGTACCTTTACTTTAGAAGCTCAAGAAAATAAACTATTCATAATTTTAACGTTTTTTTTATTGCGTATTATGTTTAAATCCACCATCAAAACTTGCCTACCTTCAATCTTCATAAGTACCCCTCGTATACCCGTCGATACAAAACTGAATAATTTTCAGTACTCCTACCTTTTCGCTTCCATTCATTGAAATTTTGATTATAACCTTCCATGACCTAGTATGCATAAACGTATGAATAGAAGAGTGGTCTACTTGGGATACTGACTAAACAATGTTTTGTATACAAAGGTTTACAGTCTTTATAAACCATTTTTTTTCTTTCTCTCTCCTATCTCTCTCTCTCTCTCTCTCTCTTTCCCCTTTTTGCTAATATTCGTTTCTCCATATTAGTATTAGTATGTATCCATTGAGGGTAGCCATGCTATCAAACTTTGCTTACTTTGTCAACCCTCCTGTTTGGTGTTTTCGATAAGTTACAGCCAGCTTTACTTTATTCGACATTATATTCTTTTGAAATGTGTAAAATTTGCAATATTTTGTTTGTTATATATTTTTAACAATGCAAAGAAAAAGAAAAATCAAACAAAAATAAATAAATCATATCAAATCAAATCAAATATTTGTTACTATTCATGAAGAAATTATCAGTGTGTTTACTCATTATTTTTACAATTTTTCGTGGTTATCTTGGCTAGGTATTACGACGTTCGAGCACCAGGAGGCGAATCGATCTTTAGTAGCAGGTGCACAAGTGGCTTTTAGTTTCATCCGAAACATTACCTATGGTGACAAGTCGGTTGATCAAGTGGCTACCGGTGCCGATATCAGCGGGGAGTGCTACCAATATATCAAGGTAGGGTAACACCGAGGGTTCTACTTTTTTTCAAAGTTCCTCGATGGTATAAACAATATATATATATATATTTATGTATATATATATATAAATTATGAGAAATTGCAAACAATAGTAACATGGCACTTATCATGGTAATGAGGGCGGGAGAACAAGAGCAATGCAAAAATGTATATCACAGATAATATGTAAACTAATGATGGGGCAGGTCTGTGGAATAGCAAAGGACAGAAACACAGAGACATTAGGATAATGGTAGTCGGTTTTGGGGGGAAACTGAAAGAGGGAAGAACAGTGATCATTCAGAAGCATAGGCGCCGGAAGTGGGGGGGGGGGGGGCAAAACGCATTTTTGCCCCCCCCCCCCCCCCCAAAAAAAAACAAAAAAAAAAAACAACCCCCCCCCCCCCTCCAAAAAAAAAAAAAAAACATTAAAGGAGTAAACATGGTTTGTATTTTTAATCCAAAAGAACGCAACAATAATAAAAACCTGAATTAAATCACATATACAATTCCATTCAAAGAAAAAGGAAAGTTCACATTTCATAAACATTGCGCATGCCACCTATACGGTATTTTAAATGGAGGTCTCTATAATACCGATACGCGCATATCGTGAACATATTGTGCGAGAATGGAAAAGCGTGTCCGTTTTTTGGTTATAGGGGTGAGAAGACATGAGCCCCTGAACGCTGGCGTACTGATGGGGGGGGGGGGGGTAATGTATTTCTTATTCGAAACAAGTGATTTACAAATGTTGATGTTGTGATATGATTTTCTGGCATTTTTTCTCCATTTTTTTTTTGTAAGTCATACCTTTTTGTTGGAAAATAAGAAATTCCCAAATTACGGTCAGGCGAAATACGCTTATTTAGAAGCCTTTATGTCATGGTCTGCAAAGTGGCTGGGCTCGAGCCCCCCCCCCCCCTCCTTTTAAAAAAAAGAATGTTAAAGACAAAAAGAAAGAAAGACGGAGAAAAATATAAGTGACCTGCCAATGTCACAAATAAGGTATAAAAAATGCTCATCTGACCGTAATTAAATGCTTAAAACCCCAGAGCTTTACGGGGGCTCCACCCCCGGACCCCACCAAGGGACCTAAGGCGGGCCCCTGGATGCTCATCTGACCGTAATTAAATACCTAAAACCCCCGAGCTTCCAGGGGCTCTGCCCCTGGACCCCAACAAGGGCGCTAAGGCGGGCCCCTGGATGCTCATCTAACCGTAATCAAATACCTAAAACCCCTGAGCTTCCGGGGGCTCAGCCCCTTGACCCCCTGCCGAGGCTCATGACCTGGACCCCACGCCAATTTACGCTCTACCTGATCGATAATACTCCAAAACGTTCCGCGGGACCTGCATGTAACGTGTAAGACTGGTGGTGATGCAGATTTTTCGTCTGCTCCCTCCCCCTTCCGAACTTTTTTTCTCATTACGTCACTGCCCCTGGAAAGTGAGCCCCCTGGAATGTTTGCCCCCCCCCCCCCCCATCCCAAACTGCATTCGGCGCGCATGTTCAGAAGGTACATGTAGACATTGATAATGGCCTAGAAGACGATTGTGTCGCATAGTACGTGTTATATACCTTAGGAAATCCAGCTATCTGATTGGTCGAAATTGCAGTCATGGTTTTAACCATTCCGGTAAATAAACGAAAAATGCCAACCCCATGTAATAGTTCTAGAGTAAAATCCAGGCTAAATTCTAGTTACCATGGTTACCAGGAAAATAGTTCAGTCTTGATGAAATACCCAAAGGTTCACATGTTAACACATGGTTTGAGCGATCGCGGATACCGTTCGAAAACGAAGAAGAAGAGAGGTACGCTGCCACGTCTTATCCCGGATAGGTCGCACTCTCGCCTTACTCTTGGATTATATCTTTGACTTTGTTTCTCATATGGAAATTGGGTTGTTCTTTTTGAAGTTTTTTGTTTTGGATTTATGTGACTACTTTTGGAGTAGATATTTTTCGTAAGGTAAGCAAACACTGTGGGCTTTTCATTTCATTTCATTCCACTTCATTATAATTAGCTGCACGATACGCGCTATTCATATTTCGCGCTTTTTTTTCGAAAGCCAATCATGGCGGCTCACGCCTCCGAGCCGGAAAGATCCATGATGAGCGAGGATGAAATGGTATTTCAAACTGTGCAAAACAGGAATCCTGCAAAAAGGCAACGTGGAAGAAGCTCTACTAATATAGAGAACTTAAAACACGCCGCAGAATCATACTCTTCGAACACCACTTTACACACCACTTCCCCAAACCCAAACCCATAGGGCATAACATTTTCATAACCCCAATAGATAGGACAAAATCATTGAACAATGTAAATCCCATACAAATAGCCAAGGCAATTCGGGAAGTTTGCGTGAACCCTGTAGATTTTATCAAAACCACGAATACGGGACTCTTAATCAAGTGTAAAAATACTAAGCAGGTGAAGGCTATCTCAGAGATTAACAAAATAGGAAGCTTGATGTAAAAGTCAGAGAAGGAGTGAACGGAGCAAAGGGAGTCATTAACGATATCCCACTGGAAATGAAGGAAGAGGAAATTCTTAATGAATTGAAAACTCAGAATGTGATGGGGTGAAGAGGATGGTGAAAAGAGTCCGAACAGATGAAACAATAGAAGGAAAGCGCTAAATCTCTCAAATTCCCATGCGCTGCGTTATTTTAACCTTCAGTAAAGTCACCACCCCCCCTGAAATCCACTTATGTTTCCAAATCAAGCGCGTAAAACAATATGTCCCACCTGTAATTAGATGCTATCAATGCCAAAGATTCGGACACAATGATTCACAATGTAATTCCAAAAAAAGATGCGTCCGATGTGGAGAAAACCACTCGTTCGATGAGTGTAAAAAAAAGAAAGACCGAAAGTGCGTAAATTGCGGGGAAAACCACTCTGCAGCCTACAGCGGCTGCGGACAAGCCAAAAAGGCAAAGCAGGTGCAGCAGATAAGGTATACAAAGGGGCTAACGTACGCAGAAGCAACTCAGTCCTGGTGGCAACAAAATAAAAAAAAAATCAAATCCACAGCCTATTCAACAGAAAAATAAAGCCAACAAAATATTGAGTAAGGAAACCGAAAAACAAACGAACGAACGTCAAAGGAAACACCACAAGGCACTCCACATATGACCAACTTCATAGCCTCGGCTAGTGATGAACAAATTATAGATTTTATTTGCCAACTAATTTTTAAATTCACAGAAGGTAGAACTGAAAAAGAATTGAATACTCTTGTTTGCGTTGCAGCCAAAAAGGCGCTGCAACAAAATAGTACATATGATAGAACAAATGATAGTGATTAATTTATTCATGTCACTTTCCATTTTACACTGGAACGCCCAGGGACTCTTAGGGCACGGCAATGAATTATTAAATTATTTAAACTTACACAAGGATTTTAAATATGATATTATTTGCATACAGGAGACCTGGTTTCATAATAACATAATTTTGAATATTCCAGAATATACATGCTTTCCTAGAAACAGACAATATAACATTAGAGGAGGCTGTGCTATATATGTTCATAAAAGGATTAAGTACGAGGGTCCTTTCACAGATGCAAACTTAGAATTACAGCAAATGAATGTTTACATAGGGGGGGGGGGGGAATTGTCAATCATTAATTATTATAACCCTTGTAATAAACTGAATGAAAATATTGTGAATAAGTTAATGGAAAATGTATCTAAAATGAAAACGTCCTAATAATGGGAGATTTTAATGCTCATAATGTTTTATGGAGCAGCGAGAAAACAGACAAAAACGATGAAGTTATAGAACATTTTTTGAATAAGAACAGTTTGATTATTTTGAACAATGGAGAGGGGACCAGATTAGACCCACGAACGGGGAAAACATCATGTCTGGATCTAAGTATCACATCTCCTTCTTTAGCGTGTAAGTCTACATGGGGAGTCATGCGGAGTACGTTTGGTAGTGACCACTTCCCAATCTCTCTCCAAGTGTCTCTCGAAAAAAGTACAGATTCGCATAGAGCAAATGCAGGTATGCTTAATGGAAATGTGGTAGAAAAGCCTTTTTCTTTTAAGAATATAAACTGGTCCAATTTTGCAAAGAAATGTGAAGAAGTATTAAATGGATAGATTACATTACAAAACACAAATGTAAAGGAAATGTACACCCAATTTATGGAGTACTTAAAATAATTTATGAAGGAAACTGTTCCCCCAAAGCGTAAAAAGAAACAAAACCCGGTCCCATGGTGGACAAAAGAATCTTCTGCTAAAATTAAAGAAATAAATAAAGCGAGTAACAAGCCCTCTAAAGGTACAATGATAACACTGATAACACTGGAGAATATAGATGATTATTGTAACAAGAAAACAATGGCACAACGAGTTCTCCGCCAAGCAGAACAAAAATATTGGCAAGCCTTTTGCACGAAACTGAACCATTACATGCCTGAGTCAAAAATCTGGACCTGCATAAAACGACTAAATGGTGTTTCTGGTGCGAGGTCAAAAAATATGTCATCATTGACAGAAAATGACAAAGAAATAACTCGTGAGGATGAAAAGGTGGATGTTTTTTTTTGGACGCTACTTTCAATCTTTAGGAATGACAGAAGATAGGGTAAATGAACAGTATTTAGCTTTAGTAAAGAATAGCATGAATATTCAGGAGAGTGTTATCAATGAACCCTTTTTACTCATTGAATTTAGAAAAGGCAGTACAGTCAAAAAAGCGGACTGCCCCTGGTCAAGATAACATTCCTTATGAGGTGTATGAAAACTTTCCTAAAGAAACTAAAAAGGTTATGTTAGATGTAATAAACAGGATTTGGGGAACAGGGGAAATACCCCTTCCACTGAAGCACTCTATTTTGATACCAATTTTGAAACCTGGAAAAGATCCCCGGAAAGCATCATGATATAGACCCATTTCACTCACATCATGCTTCGTCAAAATAATCGAGCGTTTGATCAAAGAAAGATTACAATGGTATGTGGAAAAACATGAGTACAGTCAAAAAAGCGGACTGCCCCTGGTCAAGATAACATTCCTTATGAGGTGTATGAAAACTTTCCTAAAGAAACTAAAAAGGTTATGTTAGATGTAATAAACAGGATTTGGGGAACAGGGGAAATACCCCTTCCACTGAAGCACTCTATTTTGATACCAATTTTGAAACCTGGAAAAGATCCCCGGAAAGCGTCATCATATAGACCCATTTCACTCACATCATGCTTCGTCAAAATAATCGAGCGTTTGATCAAAGAAAGATTACAATGGTATGTGGAAAAACATGAGATACTACCTAATTTTATTAGCGGGTTTAGAAAAGGGCGGAGTGCCATAGACAACATAGTTCTCCTAGAAAACGATATTCAGAAAAGTATAAATTGTAATGAGCACATAATAGCTGTGTTCCTAGATATTGAGAAAGCTTATGATAAATTATGGATAAATGGACTACTATTCAAACTCGCCCAAAAAGAAATAGAAGGAAATTTGTCACAATATCTACAAAATTATTTGACAGGACGTACCTTTCAGGTAAGAATTAATAATACTGAATCAAAAACATATGATATGCATAATGGACTCCCACAAGAAAGTATTTTGAGTCCACTGCTATTTAATTTAATGATTAGTGATATCCCTACAGATCCTTCAGTGCCTTTAGCTGTATATGCTGATGATTTTGACATATGGGCATCAGGTAGGGATATCCTTCAAATACCAAACAAACTACAGGAATACCTGAATAGGCTCCAGACTTGGTTTCGCAGATGGGGATTTCGGCTTTCGGCTGATAAGACAGTCCCTATATTTTTTACAAAAAGTACAATGAATCTCTCACCACCGCAAGTAGAATTAGACGGGAATAAAGTGCCCTTTCAGAATACTCATCATTTTCTGGGGGTAACTTTTGATAAGAAATTGACCTGGAAACCACACGTGGAAAATGTTGTAAAGAGATGTAAAAGAAAATTGAATATCCTAAGATGTTTAACGGGAACTAAATGGGGGAGCTCTTCTAAATCCCTCGTAAAGGTTTACAGGGCATTCATAAGATCTTTACTCGACTATGGATGTGAGGCTTACGATAGCGCTACTACCACCACAAAAAAGGCACTTGATTCGATGCAATACCAGGCGCTACGGATTTGTGCGGGAGGACTACCTATCACTTCCCTACAATCATTACAAGTGGAAATGGGTGAATTTCCCTTGGATCTAAGGAGACAAATTGTGTCAAGTAAATATACACAAAGTATCGAAAGATCCCTAAACCACCCATTATCACAAAACATAGGGCCATGTTGGCAATTTGATTATCTCAAGGGAAAAGACTTTCTTAGTAAACCTTTCGGGTATAGAACCCAGAGTAAAATAAAAAAAAAACTTCATGACAGAAACTGCCGTACCATCCCCATTCCCGCCATGGCTTTTTGAACCCCCACTGGTTTCGACCGAGTTGAGCTCTCGGATTTCAAAAGCCGACCATCCGAATGATCTACAACAACAAAACTTAGAATTGATTAATTCAAAATGGTCGAACCAGTTGCATATATATACAGATGGATCTAGGTTTCCGGAGAAGGGCCAATGCTCGGATGCTTTCTATATCCAACACTTTTTTGTACACCAATGTAAAAGATTAGCGAATTTTACCTCATCGTATAGAGCCGAGTTGGCTGCCATTGTTCTTGCCCTTCAATGGATCGAAGAAACAAATATCTATACAGGTGCAGTCATTTTTAGCGACTGCTTAAGTGCCCTCACAGCCTTGAAACATTTTAGTGACGAATCCTTTGTCACAGAAATATTTATAATAACGACCCGATTGAAATATTTATGGATCGAAATCGCTTTGGCATGGATTCCAGGCCACTGTGGGATAGTGGGAAAGGAAAAGGCAGACTTCTACGCAAAAAAAGCTCTAACTCAGGAAATTGAAATGCATAATAAATTGACGTTATTTGAAAAGACAAATTTAATTTTGTACAGTTCAAAGTTACTTTGACCAGAAAGGTGGAATGATACCCAATCGGCATTAAAAATCCTTCAGCCAAATGTTATCACACAATATTCTTGTAAATTGGGAAGAAAAACTGAAACTACTACACCTGGGAGTGTCTGGACTCAATCAAGACCTCCTACGTTTGGGCATCCACTCCACAGGTTTCTGTGACAGCTGTCCAACATTAGAAACGGTCAGACACTTTTTGATACAATGTCCTAAGTATATAATAGAAAGGGCCATGTTAATGTCAGAAGTTAATATTTCCAAGGAAGAGGAAATTATGATATGTTTACGAAACAGTGACTCTCGTGTACAAATGGCAATTGCTCGCTTCGTTTTTAGAACGAAGCGATTATGTATAGAGTAAAATCAAAAAGAGATGAAAAACAGAAACCGCAATTAATTTGAACTGAATAGAAGAGAAAATAGGTATTTTGTGTTTAACCTTATATAGGCCTATTAATTAAAAAATAAAATAAAAATAAAAACAAACAAATAATTGAAACAATTTATTATTATTTATTTGACCAATAGGAAAACATATCTTAATACATACACACAACTTTAGGGAAGTGGAGAGGAGAGGGAGAAGGATACAATCTGCTGGCCAGGGTGACAAAAGCAATTTAAACTTGCTATTTACTCGAAAGCTTGTCACCCCCCCCAATAATTATAGTAGTTAAAAGTCATGCACTATATAAATAATCTCATGAACTAACTCATATAAACTAATAAAGCCCACAAGTGTTTTGCTTAATATGCATTTGTTTTTCTCCTAATAAATAAATAAACCCTCTAAACATACAGGGACACGACGCCCCCTTGTCTATGCCAGAGTGACCTAGGTTGAGTGTATTAACCGAGAAGCGTACGGCGTAACGTAACTCGCTGGGCTGGTAAGAAGGCATCATAAAAAGGACAGAGCCAGCGTGAGTTGGAACTGGGTGCGGATCGTAGTTTAATTTGAAATAACTTTTTGTTTTTTGTTTTTTGTAGACTATGACTAATATTATATCAAAATGAGATTGGAAAAAGAAAGAAAAAATAATAATTTTACCAAGAAATTAAAAGAAAGAGATGCAATGAAATTGGCAACAATAGTCAAATTTGACTAATAGCCATTATAATATCAAACGAAGAAGAAGAAGAGGAGAATTGGTCGGTATTTTTAATACGGCAATCTCGATTGTACAAACAAGGCAAAAATGGCTGAAGAAACTCTCCCAAGATGTCAACTTCTTGATGATGATCAAATGCAAGACTTGCTGACAGCAAGAACACCAAAAAGGGTACGTGTAATTATCCATTCATTTTTTTCAAAATAGATCTAGTAGGTCTAGGCCTAGATTCTAGTAGTGCTAAAATCCTTCCCGTAGAGATTGCACACATCCCTATGAATTGGCCATTGCGCACTCATGCTAAATTGGTCGATGTTTTAATTACCAGAGATTCAAACTGATATTGCTCGTGATCCTGAAGGTGATACTCAATAAGTGAGGTGTCATATGAAAGCGCAGGTTTTTTCCATATTCCCCACAGGGCCGGCCCACCCCCAAAATTGTAAAAATATCTTGCTTAGACTAGCATCTAGATCTAGTCTACTCTCAAAGATACACTCATAAACGACAACCGTGCAGATAAACTAGAGAAAGGCCAAGGTGGTGTCATAAGTTGACTCTTTATTTTTTCGGCATATAAAAGTATTAATGACTGCTCTAATATTCGACAAATAGTTGTTTGTATACGCTCTCGGGAAATTGGGCTATTGTCCTCGGCACGCCTCGTGCAATAGCACAATTGTAACTTTCCCTTGAGAGCATAAAAACAACTATTTATCTCAAAGCAGTCATTAATACTATACTATGACATGCTACATCATATCTAGGGTTCAACATTACCTATTTTCCTGTGATCGCAGATATTCAGCAATCCCAAGGTGATATTTCATTTCTTTTTTTTCTCTTCCATTACCGTCTAAGTACGAATGCCATCATTCCCAAATGACTGGCTCTACTGCTTGGTATGACAGAGACGGAAAACAAAAGAACTACTGGGGTGGAGCCACGGTAGACAGCGGACAGTGCGCTTGTGGAATCTCAGGTATGATTGTAGGTCATCTTAGAGGGCATCCTTGGCTTACATTATCAGAGCTATCCATGTACAGAGTTTGGCCAACTTGGCATCAGTTGGTTACAACATGACGTATTCTTATTCATTTTTTTTTTGTGCTAGCCCTCGACAAAGCAGTATTCGCAATATTGTAACCAACTAGAACCGTATTGCTCAAACTCTGTATATTGATTAATCTGCACTGAATGGAATGGGATTATCTCACTTGAATGCAACAGCAGTACTGTCCTTGTAAAACATTATCTCAAATAGTGAAGTATTATTCCATAACATAAACCGAAGAATTGGCGTTGCAAAAGTTGCAAACATTGTAGCTTTCTGCGCACTAAACCAAAAACCAAGCACCTCGGAAAAACATGTAAATACGTTTAATTTTAAATGAAAAGCCTATATATCCCATCGAGATAAGCTATGAACGAATGGATCTTTATCTTTGTCTTTCAGGTTCATGTCACAACGGTCACCAATGCAACTGCGATGCTAATGACAATAACTGGAGAGAGGACTCGGGGTATCTTACCGATAAGACTACTTTACCTGTTACTGAAATGAGGTTCGGTGTGACAGGACTAGCAAACGAGTACGGGTATTATACACTAGGACCATTATACTGCAAGGGAGATGAATCTTGTAAGTTTTATATGAAAATGATTACTTATTATCACATAGCTTCGTAAAAATTTTTTATTCTAAAAGAGGTTGGCAGTAAACGTATCTGGCATTATGACTCCAAGAAAGAGAAGTAGTATAAAACAAAACTAAATTTGCGCTCCGAGAAATGTTGGTTATCATACTTGTTAGATGATAGAGATGATAGTTACGTTGACAATGCAGATTATGATTTAAACGATGAATATAATGATGATGATGGAGATAATGATGACGACGACGCCGACAATGCAGATGATACTGATAATGATCCCGATAATATAAAAATCAGGGATTATTTACCATTCAGATAGAATATTTGGCGAAATGACACTGACCTTGTGCTTCGTCCTTTCCTTCCATTCCTTAGTCCTTGTGACGGGTCGTACAGATTTCATGTTCATCAAAGAAAGTCACCTTAGTGGTTACAACAACGCGATCATGTCTCTCATCACGGTTGAAGAATGCGCCACGGCCTGTGTGTCAGCCTCCAGCTTCATATGTAGATCGTTTGACTATGGTCCATTCTACAGCTGGTGCTATCTCAGTGAGGAGAATGACTTGACTGTTGACCCATACGGCCCTTCTATTTCTCACCTGTTTGTTCGGATCAGTAAGTTTTCAGTTCCATGTCAGTCTTCTGGATTCTTAATTGGCTCAAAGGGCGCTGATGTGGTGACACTAGGGACTTTTAGATTTACACGACGAGAACGTGGACCACCACGTGTGACATCCTTGTGACGTCCTTTTAAGGCACTGCCGGGCAGCGAAATTTTTATTCCCAAACAGGTTTGCAATTTCTTATATTTCCGTTCTTCTCAATGGCTGATACGTCATTAGCAGCTTGGAAAGAGGTCACAAACAATTAGACTTTGATTTTTTATTGCTTTGCCTCACTATTTATAAAGGCAAAAATACGGAATAAACTGTGACTTGAACCCATGACTCTATGGGCGTGTTCACACCGCAAGGGGGGACCGTGGGCGGACCGTGGATCGCGCTATTGTAGCGCGACCCACGGTCCGCCCACTGGCATTCGCCGGATCCACACCGCAGCGAGATAGCGCGGTCTATCGTAGCACCCCCTTTTTTAAGAGGTCCTGTTGTCATGACGCGTGACGTCATGAGGTCAGAGCGGTCAAAGATTTCGCGCGCTATTACGAACTAGGAGTGTTGAATAGGCCATTTTCGTAATGTAACCAAATTTAATGCATACGTCTTTGTGAAGTGCCTCAATACAAATTATTTCGTTCACCTGATAAGAATAATAGTATTTCAATAGACAGAATCCAAAATGCATACATTAGTTGTTGTCAGGTTGGACAAGCATTATGGCTTGACCTACCTATATAGCAACACTTAATACATGCAGTTGCATTCTGACTATTGAAATACTATCAGGTGAATGAAATAATTTGTATTGAGGCACCTCACAAACACTTATGCATTAAATTTGGTTACATTACGAAAATGGCCTATTGTACCGATTCAGATTCAGATCGCACCAAAATAGAATGAGTATAAAATTCCCCGCGTGTAGAACGATAAAATCCGGCGTGCTTTCGTAGCTCGGGTTCACACCGGCAGAGATAGCGGGGTCTAGCACGCGCTAGACCGCGCTCTCTCTCGTGGACCACCCCCAAGAGGTGATCCAGTGTTGGCTCGCAGTGGCTCGCCGTGGCTCGCTGTTGGGCGGACCGAAACGACGTTGTACCTTCCACACCGCAGAGATAGCGCGGTCTAGCGCGCGCTAGACCGCGCTATCTCTGCCGGTGTGAACAGCCTCAATGATTGTGTTACGCTGACCTTACCGATTGAGCCAACGATGGGTTGATGAAAAGTGATACTGCATGATTTCTATACCCCTTTCACTCACCCTAACGGTTACGTCATTGCTAATGACGTAACATATCAGCCAATCAGATGACCGGAAATATTAGCATTGGCAAACCTGTTTGGGAAAAAAAAATTAGCTGCCGGGCACGGCCCCAGTGCCTTAACACAATGTCACACGCGGCAGTCCACACTCTCGTCATGTAAATCTAAGATTCCCTATGGTATTTGATGTGGTGACATTGTATTTGATTTACAACAGCCGTTCGATTCAATTCAACACTCATTCATTCAATCGGTCAATCTGTCCACTGCCAATACACCCAGGCATTCATTAAACAATCGTAAGAAACCTCCTGAGTTTGCAAATTAATGTACTCGATGTTGCTGGGTTTACCGTTCGCTTCTTAAAGTATTCCGAAATGTTTCCCCCAACTCCTAGTTAGGCACAATTCCACCTGACTGTGGTACACTTTGCATTAACAAGATTGAATTGTTATATTAATTCCAATCTTTTTCTCATCTTTGTATCCTCAGTGGACCGCATTGAAGACCCATTTACTGGTGGGTAAATCATCTTACTTTTTTTTCCTCAGCAAGATACGAATTGATAGTGATATGTGTTAATGTATTTCAATGTTCGTTACCGTCTGTTACCATGAAGTGTATTTGTATTGATGATTATTTCTTCATAAAGGTTATGCTTTCTGGGAGAAATTTCAATTATTTAAACATATTTGTGGCTTACACTCAGTAAATAAGATCGATTGATCGATCTGTAATTGAAAAACAAGTCAGAAAAAAATATTGTAACCAGCGGGACTTGAACCTGAATCTACTGCTTGCCGGGCAGCGACTCTGCCACCAGGCCATCACCTGTCCATGACACAGTCAAGATGAACTATAAAAAATACCCAAGCTCTCTTGATTCATTCATTAGTCCGCCATATGACAATAACTTTTATAAATGCAATGCTTCCTGGAATCCTGGGAGGAATTTCAATGATTTAAACATATTTGTGGCTAACACCCTGTAATAAGATCGATCGATCACTCCATCTATGAAAGATGAAGAAAACAAAATCATAAACTAACTTTTATTGGGACTGTGCCATGGACCAGTGATGACTGGGGCCTGTCTCACTAAGCGCTAAGATGCGTCTTAAGCGGCCTTAAGTCCCGTTATAGGACTTAGTGTAAGATGCATCTTAGGGGGAGTTTCACAAAGCCCACTAAGACGCGTACCGTACTTAGTACCCATTTAACTAAGTTGCATACAGGTCGTAGCCTACGTCTCGTCGAGACGAGACGTAGGAACAGTTCTTAGTGTAATGTCATGTGATAAATTTCGCGCCAAATTTATAAGTTGTTCTAATTCGATCTCGATGATGGGCGATCTTCAAATAGTGATGGCTTTGACGTTTCATTAAAGTATTTGAGAAAGAAGACGATTCGTCGGACTCATTGTCTGAATTTTCAAAAATGTTTCTTTGTCTGATAAAAAGTCAGAGTTCGTAGGGGAAATTTTTTTGCTGGCCGACCGACATAATACATCTCACCAGCTTCAAACTTCTGCATTGATATAGCACACGAGGATCGAGCAAGACTTCACCCAATAATTCCCTCTCTCTTCTACTGCACCCGGCTCTTATTCCTGTCTCTCTCTTCTCTCTTTCACCCCCCCCCATTTTTTTTTCTTCTTTTTTCATTTTTCTCTTCTCTTTTTCCTTCCTTTTCTCCTTATTTTCTTTTCTTTCTTTTCCTTTCTTCCTCTTTTTCTTGTTTCTCTTTCTTTCTTTCTTCTCTTCTCTTACTTTCTTGCCTTTCTTTTCTTTTTCTTTCCCTCTCATTTTCCATCTCACTTTCTCATTTTCCCGACAGTAGCGCAACTTGTTGGCGGGAAAATTGCAAGTGATATCCCCCTTCTTTTCTTTACTTCTTCCTCAATTTTCCTTCCCTTTATCTCCTCTTTCCCTTTTTTCTTTCCATTTCCTTCCTTCCTTCTCTCTTATTTTGTTTTATTGGGGGGAGGCAACAGCCTAGGAGGCAAGGCCCTTTCGCCCCCCATCTCCTTCTTCCCCTTTTCTTTTCTTCTTCCTCTTCTTTCTTTCCCTTTCTCTCCTCTTTCCCTTTCCCTCTTTTCCTTCTCTCTCTTTCTCTCTCTCTCTCTCTCTCTCTTGCGGAAGGGGGGGGGGGGGGGCAAGGCCCGCTCACCCCCGCTGGATCCGCGCCTGCATCTACCTTATATCTACTAACGTTAGACCCTAATAATGGATCTAGAAGATTGATTGACCTGGTCTCAGTGACGGGTAAACTTTTTTTTCTCAATTACTTGGTCTAACCATGAAAAACGTCTAATTTTACTTTAGATTTTCAAACAGTTACGACCTAAATTAGGCCTAAGGCCAAGGGCTGTACTCTACATTTTAATAACAAATTAATGTTAACGTTAGACTTAACTTAAACTGTTGTTTCTCTGTGATACAAGTGGGAAAGGAACACTTCTTTTTTCAAAAAAAAGAAAGAAGAAAATTCCCCTTATTTCCCCCTTCTTTTTTCCCAGGGGGGAGGGGGGTGGGGCGGCCCCCCGCCCCCCTGGATCCGCCACTGATCACGGGGATAAAAGTATACAGCTATGTAACAAGTAAATTTCTAAGAGGGAGAATGCCGACTTAAATAAATGATAATGATAAAATACCAAGGAATTTAGGAGTTTCATCCAATGGAAATTTGTATTAAAAAAAGAGCCCCCGTCAGCACTAAAAGAGCCCCGTGAAAAGGTTCACGGGGGCTATTTTTTTTGGAAGAGCCCCCGTGGACAAAAATTTAATTTGAGCCCTGGTCATAGGTCATTGTCGTAAGACATGACAGGAACAAGGTTATCAGGTACTTGTGACGTCATCCAAGCGCCATTTTGAGAAAATCAACTTATGATCATATCTTCATAACGGAAATTCATTTGAAGGACACAATCCTCTTTTGGAAAGCCATTGCGAATGAAATGCATTGTGGAAAAGGTTGGGCTACCTATATAAAGATGAAGATATAGAAATTAAAGATTGGTCCCTTATCAAAGGAATCGTAGCGATTTACAGAACTTACGCAATTACTATTTAGAAAACTTGATTTAAATTTGTACAATTATATATCATCTAGATGATGATACAAGCGATCAGGATCTGTGTGACGCTGGTTGGACACGTAACGGTAATGCATGCTACCAACTAGTTGAATCTACCGTCGACTATAGTACAGCCCTTGATGCGTGCAGAAATCTCAATGACTACGGTGATCTGGCGAGCGTAGCTGATCAAGACGAAAGCAACTTTCTTTCCGTTTATTCGAGGTAAGCCCCTACCCCCGACCCCACCCCTCGAATACAGGAGCCACATCATGGAATACTCCGTTGGCAGAAACCCTCACCCACACGCACAGGCACACCTTTAGCCGCGTACCCTCCCATGCCACCTTCCACCTATAAGCATGCGCAGAGCGTGGCCTGTGGACGAGTATGCTCAGGGGCTCAAACGCCATCACAGTTTTATCACCCAAATCGGAGCCGATGCTAGGGCACCAAATTGCACTTTGCTTTCAATTTGACATATTTAAACGTCAAATTCATTGTTCAAGAACAAAATTCCTTTTTAGATTCATGATATAAAGCCATTTAAATTTGGTAAGATTTCTGTTTTTAAATACAACGCGCTACAAATTTATGCTACCACACGTTTTGATCAGTACTGTATCATGGGCCCTTTAAGGGTATTACTATGAAAAGATTGTATAAATATGTTTCAATTTTTATTTATCAAAAACACAGACGTACCTTTGATACGAGTTCTTACTGGATTGGGTTCAATGACCTCGATGGAAAGGGAACTTGGGCCTGGACTGATGGCTCAGTTACATCATATACCAACTGGTATTCTGGAGAACCATGTAAGTAAATAACAACGAATTCATTTCGCAGAAAAGTAAAAGTGCTAGGCATGTTAGGCGTGGATGTCCCTCCGATAGAGACTGAATTATAAGCATAATTTATTCAAGCTGAACTTCTTTCCGTTCATAATAATACATTACTGATCACTGAACACAATTCTGAAGGTACCATCGTGGCGCTCCTACGAAATTTATCCGCACTGTGATTCGTCAAAGATATAGAATAATAGCTTAGGTTTGCGTTGCACTAGAATGTTAGTTTACATTTTATTGTAAGGGTTACTTGTATGTTAGGTCGAGTGTTTATTTTTGTTGCAGGGTTCGGTGAGGGTAGGATGTTGATCGTGGAGTAGTTATTACTGGAGAATGTTTCGCAACGAAGACAGTTCTTAAATCAAATATGAAATATAGCTTATAAGCTAAGCTCCTCATTTCTGATATTGTTATCTCTTTATTTAGCTGGTGGATCTGAACATTGTGGTGTATTACGATTGAGTTCAGACGGCACATGGTATGATGCAAGCTGCTCGTCAACATACGGCTACATCTGTAAATACCCGCTAAACACCAGTAAGTCACACTCCATATGTTTATAATAAATATATGGTCTCTATGACTCAGGGCTCGAATATAATTCAACGTTTAACATAGAAATTGCTTTAGTGAACTTTCCACCTTGTAAAACAAGGTCTCTTGGCTATAGACTAGCTGTATTGCTTAGTGTAACCTATCTGCTGAATTATTATGATATACGTTAAAATAAAATGAAATAATATGTTTTTTATTTAATTATGTCATAATTATATTGTTTGTTCTAAATCCAGGATCACCGTCATTTATTACGTTCAGTAAAGAGGTTCAGTCACTATACCATGATGACTTAAATTCATGTCCGAGTAGGACCGAAGAAAAAAGAAATCCTTGATATAATTATTTACTCTCCCTTCCTCTTCCTTTCTCTTGATCAGTTTCCTGTGCTGAATGGAAGCGTAAAGGCTATACATCTAATGTATACTACACAATAGATCCTGATGGGAGAAATAATGGAGTCGATCCATACAAAGTATACTGTGATATGACTACGGATGCTAGCACAGGTAACATATCAACCACAAATTATTAGTTAAAGTAACCACGAATCGGTCATGTACAATAGTGACAAACATAACAAAGTTACGATACCACAGTCCTAAAACGCCGTTTTCTTGAAATGTACTGCATTGACAGGGATCAGGAAACAAAGGGAAAATGAAACGTACATCATAATTATGACGGTCAGGGATCTGACTTACTTTTACCTCTCATTTATTTGCCTATCTCTCAATTTGAGGAAAAAACACGGCGCAGTATTCTCAGTAACATTCATGAGTAACACCAATATCATACTAATCTATAAAAAAGATGACCCCTCTTCTATCTCGAACTATCGACCAATATCCAAATTACCAAGCTTCTCTAAAATCCTTGAAAGAATTGTTTATATTCATCGTCAAAATCATTATCTGCATTGTCAACGAAACCATCATCTCTATGATCTAAGAAGTATAATAACCACCATTTTTCGGAGCGCAAATCTAATTTTGTTTATATAAACAGATTATATACATTTTTAACTCAAAATGACTCGCCGAACCCAGATCAGTTGGCTTCAGGAAGTTTCATTCAACTGATTTAGCACTACCCCAACTATTTGATAGAGTATCAAATGCCTTGGCTGATCATAAATATGCCATAGGCATATTCAAGGATCTCAGCAAGGCATTTGATACTCTTGATCATACTATATTATTGTATAATTAAAGCATTACGGTGTACGAGGTAAAGCACTTGATTGGTTCGAAAATTACTTATCATCAAGAAAACAATATACTTTATTCAATTCAGTTACTTCTAACGTATCGTCTATTAAATGTAGAGTTCCGTAAGGTCCCATACTTGGGCCACTATTATTTTTGATATTCGTCAATGATATATCTAAAAAGTTTCACCAATTCTACAGTATGTATTGTTTGCCGATGATACGAAGGTGTTCTATTCACATTCTGATTCAAATTCGCTGATCGCAACCATGAACATTGAACTAAGTACCTTTACTTTAGAAGCTCAAGAAAATAAACTATTCATAATTTTAACGTTTTTTTTATTGCGTATTATGTTAAAATCCACCATCAAAACTTGCCTACCTTCAATCTTCATAAGTACCCCTCGTATACCCGTCGATACAAAACTGAATAATTTTCAGTACTCCTACCTTTTCGCTTCCATTCATTGAAACTTTGATTATAACCTTCCATGACCTAGTATGCATAAACGTATGAATAGAAGAGTGGTCTACTTGGGATACTGACTAAACAATGTTTTGTATACAAAGGTTTACAGTCTTTATAAACCTTTTTTTTTTTCTCTCTCCTATCTCTCTCTCTCTCTCTCTCTCTTTCCCCTTTTAGCTAATATTCGTTCCTCCATATTAGTATTAGTATGTATCCATTGAGGGTAGCCATGCTATCAAACTTTGCTTACTTTGTCAACCCTCCTGTTTGGTGTTTTCGATAAGTTACAGCCAGCTTTACTTTATTCGACATTATATTCTTTTGAAATGTGTAAAATTTGCAATATTTTGTTTGTTATATATTTTTAACAATGCAAAGAAAAAGAAAAATCAAACAAAAATAAATAAATCAAATCAAATCAAATCAAATATTTGTTACTATTCATGAAGAAATTATCAGTGTGTTTACTCATTATTTTTACAATTTTTCGTGGTTATCTTGGCTAGGTATTACGACGTTCGAGCACCAGGAGGCGAATCGATCTTTAGTAGCAGGTGCACAAGTGGCTTTTAGTTTCATCCGAAACATTACCTATGGTGCCAAGTCGGTTGATCAAGTGGCTACCGGTGCCGATATCAGCGGGGAGTGCTACCAATATATCAAGGTAGGGTAACACCGAGGGTTCTACTTTTTTTCAAAGTTCCTCGATGGTATAAACAATATATATATATATATTTATGTATATATATAAATTATGAGAAATTGCAAACAATAGTAACATGACACTTATCATGGTAATGAGGGCGGGAGAACAAGAGCAATGCAAAAATGTATATCACAGATAATATGTAAACTAATGATGGGGCAGGTCTGTGGAATAGCAAAGGACAGAAACAAAGTGGCATTAGGATAATGGTAGTCGGTTTTGGGGGGAAACTGAAAGAGGGAAGAACAGTGATCATTCAGAAGCATAGGCGCCGGAAGTGGGGGAGGGGGGGCAGGGGGGGACAGTTGCCCCCCAGTCAAAAAAGTGGGGGGGGGGGGGGCAAAACGCATTTTTGCCCCCCCCCCAAAAAAAAAAAAACAAAAAAAAACGCCCCCCCCCCCTCCAAAAAAAAAAAAAAAAAACAGTAAAGGAGTAAACACGGTTTGTATTTTTAATCCAAAAGAACGCAACAATAATAAAACCCTGAATTAAATCACATATACAATTCCATTCAAAGAAAAAGGAAAGTTCACATTTCATAAACATTGCGCATGCCACCTATACGGTATTTTAAATGGAGGTCTCTATAATACCGATACGCGCATATCGTGAACATATTGTGCGAGAATGGAAAAGCGTGTTCGTTTTTTTGTTATAGAGGTGAGAGGACATGAGCCCCTGAACGCTGGCGTACTTATGGGGGGGGGGGGTAATGTATTTCTTATTCGAAACAAGTGATTTACAAATGTTGATGTTGTGACATGATTTTCTGGCATTTTTTCTCCATATTTTTTGTAAGTCATACCTTTTTGTTGGAAAATAAGAAATTCCCGCATTACAGTCAGGCGAAATACGCTTATTTAGAAGCCTTTATGTCATGGTCTGCAAAGTGGCTGGGCTCGAGCCCCCCCCCCCTCCTTTTTAAAAAAAGAATGTTAAAGAGAAAAAGAAAGAAAGACGGAGAAAAATATAAGTGACCTGCCAATGTCACAAATAAGGTATAAAAAATGCTCATCTGACCGTAATTAAATGCTTAAAACCCCAGAGCTTTACGGGGGCTCCACCCCCGGACCCCACCAAGGGACCTAAGGCGGGCCCCTGGATGCTCATCTAACCGTAATCAAATACCTAAAACCCCTGAGCTTCCGGGGGGCTCAGCCCCTTGACCCCCTGCCGAGGCTCATGACCTGGACCCCACGCCAATTTACGCTCTACCTGACCTGCATGTAACGTGTAAGACTGGTGGTGATGCAGATTTTTCGTCTGCTCCCTCCCCCTTCCGAACTTTTTTTCTCATTACGTCACTGCCCCTGGAAAGTGAGCCCCCTGGAATGTTTGCCCCCCCCATCCCAAACTGCATTCGGCGCGCATGTTCAGAAGGTACCTGTAGACATTGATAATGGCCTAGAAGACGATTGTGTCGCATAGTACGTGTTATATACCTTAAGAAATCCAGCTATCTGATTGGTCGAAATTGCAGTCATGGTTTTAACCATTCCGGTAAATAAACGAAAAATGCCAACCCCATGTAATAGTTCTAGAGTAAAATCCAGGCTAAATTCTAGTTACCATGGTTACCGGGAAAATAGTTCAGTCTTGGGCGCCTTGGATTAATTCGAGTGGCAGTAAACACGCGGCTTTATGCAACGCGGACTAGTTTGCGTGAAAGCCACAATCGTCCGCACCCCTCTATTCAAAAGCCGGATGCGAAAATCCCGTATAAAAGGTGCGTCCGCTTCAACGACCGCGACCTACTCGTAATGTTTTCAACCGATACCAGTTGACCGCCCTCTATAGTCTGCCATGTAACTCTCAAACTATGCAGGGGCCGCGGAAGCGGGTGGCTTGGTCTTTTTTTTTTTTAGTAGACACGTTTCATGTTCAGACCTCCCCCCCCCCCTACTCTCAAAAACGCTCCGCGGCCCCTGCTATTTAGGGTCAGAATTCAGATTCCCTTCCTGAAAGGGATAGCTTATTAATACAAATTATTTATCACACATTTATACAAGTCATACATTAATGCTTTTTCTTTCTTTGATATGTTTCGCTTTGTTGTAGCTTCATTTGTCTCGTTTTCGTTTCCAAACTTCATTAATCTGTGTTGGGTTATCTTAAACAATATTTGACTTCTGGAACATTTATAAACTTATGGGCAATACGCTTGACTAATCATGAAAAGATTGTTTAATATCTATAAATGAATGGCGCAAAATATGAGCTTTTTAAATGAAAGCGCCGTAAAAAAATAAGTAACAACAACAACAGCAGCAGACTTCATTTTTTCTTTTGTTCTCAAGCGAGGTTTTTATTTCCATAATTTCAATACATATTTACATTAATTACTCAATGATTGAGTGAAACGAGTGAAACATTACATACAAAAATAAAGTATACACAACAATTCTACCAGCTTAGTATTATTTTCTTTGATTGCACAATCATGCCTAAAAAAAATCCTACCAACGACTTAGACTAGACAATCGTTTTAACGTAACATTTTATCAACGAAGAAAGATGGATTTATATTTAGAGTTCAGAAATAAACAATATGAAATGAAACAATAGGAGTGATCGAGAGGAAGGAAAAATCAAAGGTTTGTCCCCAGGTATATGAAATGAAAAGAATCTAACACAGTTACACAGGTAATAAACAAATTTAAAATAAGTGGTGAAGTGTGACGTCATCAATAATCTATGTTTTGAATTTCTCAATTTTGACCATCTGAATAAATATATTTTATATGGGAACTCAGTGTTATTTGCTCTGGCTCCTAATGATGTTATCTCGGACATTCAACGTTGCCTTTGCCCAACTCCGCGCATTAAACAGTAGTTTATTAAATAAACACCCTCCCCAGTCCCCACCCCCCCCCCTTCCCCTCTCCCCTCTCTATCAAACTCGCCTTTCATGCTATGGTAATACGTTGCGTTAACATTTTATGCGCCATTATGTTAGTGATTGTGATAGATTTTGAGCGAAGAATGGTAATTAGATGGGAAAAAAGTATTAAACAGGGAAACAAGACACACGAAATCATATTGCCAGTTGAGGTTGACATAAAAGCAAGTGAAGGAAGATGGCTTTCATATTTAGAGTTCAGAAATAAACAATATGAGTGAGAGGGGTTGGAGAGACAGAAAGTTGGACGAAGTCTGTACTGTATTCATCATTATGATATTTGTCTCTCTAATCACCCCCCCCCCCCTCCCCTGGGCTCTTTTTTTCTTTCTTTCTGTTCTGTTTGTTTATGTATTTTCGCTTAAGTATAATGTCCGACGTATATTAACACCTTCAATATAGCATAATAAACATTTTTTGTCATATCAGTTTGATGCAACAGAGATTTATATCCAAAAGTTTACTTCTGATAATTATTATTGTACTGTTATATTCTTCTCTCCGTTCATTTTAGCTTCTTCTGAATGTTTACGTTAAATTCCTTACTCTCTTGATGAAATATAAACACCAGAAGCTAGTATTTAGTGGATGCAAACAAAACTTTGCAACTGATGGGTTCGAAAATCAAAAACATGAATAGACTTCCTGCTTTTTCACTGCAGATCAAAACAAAGCGAATGAAAATGGGCAGACCGTAGTTCAGATAATCCGGCTATTGTTTTCTATCATTGGAATAATCCACCAGCTCCATCTTCTCACGCAAACAGGCCGGTGAATGGACTGTCGTTGTTGTTGTTGTTTTATTTAGGCAAGTCAGTCAGTTTATGACCATTATTGCCGAATAATATGAACAATTTTGTTTTAAATTCTAATTTACGTATATGCACTCACATAATATGCGTGTATATTATGAATAATATATAAATAATATTTGTTTTTAAGATATATAATTATATATTACATTCCTTGGTCACGCTTTGCTTAAAATAGATTCTGATTATGTCCATGATACGGACAGAATGAATTGAATGTGTATTTTCATTATATTAAATTGCAAGCAAATGGCTGAATAGAAAACAATATGAAAGATGTAGATGGAAACGACATTGGCAGATATAGACAAAGAGAGACAGACAGACAGAAAGAGAGGGAGAGAGAGAGAGAGAGATGAGAGAGAAAGAGAGAGAGAGAGAGATGAGAGAGAGAGAGAGAGAGAAAGAGAGTTGAGTTCGGCTTCAATAGCGTTCAGCTTAGAATCGTTGGTCTGCTGACTATAGAGGCTGCTCCGATGTCTTCATCCCTCCATGACGTCTCAGATAGACTCATCCTCAGATTTAAACTCTCGTCGTCGCTGCTTCGTATATCACTATCGCTGTCCATTGTACTACTATGATTAACTTTAACAAAAGTGTCAGGGTATTTATACTCTTCTGGAGGACCGCTTGCACACATAATCAAATCAATGTTTCGCCATTGTCATTGACAGAGATTTAACAGACAATGGGGTTTTTTTTCTCGCAAGCGTGGCACTAATTGGCACGCGACGATGAGCAATGAATAACAACACAGAATGAATGGGCCGGGCTTACCTTACCTCGTTAATCCACAGAAGATCAATGATCATACAAATATAACAGCTCAGTATTTATTTCAAATAAATTACAAATAATACAAATAAACAAGTCAAAGAAATTAAGAACTTGACAATGAAACATTAACATAAACAGCAAAACAAACAAAAGCAATGATAAATGTAGAGGTGGTACGACATACAGGGATAACATTATTATGATAAGGTGGAGAGAATGAATGGAAGTGGGGCATGCACTAGAAAAGCCAAAGGAAGGATAAATCCCACGCACCCAAAACATTTTGATGATTTCAATAAATACAGCACGTATACAGGGTATAGATGCGGCAAGGATCAGGCAATGGAATATAAATAATATTTAATATAATAACAGCGTTAAACTTAAAACTTAAAGAACAAAACGACAAGGCAAAACAAACGAGAAACAAAATTTGTCATTTCTGAGTAATCTATAACTGATTTCTAAGG